TAAACTAATATCAGAATTTATTATGTTGGATAAATTGATAAAAAATAAAAACACTAAAAATCTTTGGAAGAAATAATTATGCAAATATATTGAAACCTGGAGTTATTTACACGGTAATGCCATATTAGAAATGAAACATTTTCTAACTATAAAATAATAACCAGAATGATATGATGAAACAATTAAGATTTTATATATTGTCGCACCACCTTGCTATATTATATCTTAAAATAATAGTAGTTTGTAATAATATCAAAAATACACTTGTATTAAAAATTTAACTCAAGACTGTTTTTCGAAAAAGAAAAAAATATCTTTCCTAAAAACACGTAAAAAAAGAGAAGAAAAGATATCAAATTTATTACATCTATTGCAGGATGAATAATAAAATGTTTAATTTTAAAAATCATATATAACTAAATAGATGGCGTTAAATACTTGAATGCAATTTGTTATTATATTTATTATCAAAACCATTTATGAGTAAAATTTATTATAATATTAACTGTAGTATATTATATAACTGTCAAATACGTCTATAAAAGTGGCATTATATCTAATATTTTATAAACAACTGTATATAGTAGAGGATTATAAACCTTATGTCTACTTACTTTTTATAAAGAAATCTCTTATACTTATTTGGACCTTGAAAACATTTTTAAGATATGATAATAAAATTTCAAAATAAATATACAGTTGATTAATCATTTTGAACTCAGCTAATTACAATATTAAATTTGTTAATTTTCAAATAATATATGATTATATTTATTTAATTAGGGTTAAATAATAATTTAAATAATAAATGTCAATTAAATTTCAACTGTTAAAGCTAAATTAATATTTAGTGCATTATTGATATTACATTTTTAATACAGAATTTGATTGCAAGCTGACATAGTGAAAATATAATTTATATGCAATCCAATGATACATTGTATTAATCTAATCTAATAATTAAAATAATATTCATTTAATAAAAATTTAAATAGTCTTATTAAATTCTAAATAATAAAATTATATCTATATATTACTTAATGGAATTATAAAAGAAATCATTCAGTGGGCAATCAAAAAAATTTATTTTTAGTTCAAAGGGATATTAAGGAGCCATTTAAAAAAAAATTTTGCTTCAGGGGGCTATTCAAATTTTTCAAGGGGCTCGAGCCCCTGCGTTCCCTCCCCCTAGCGACGCGACTGGTTAGATAAATTGATAAAACAAAAACAATAATAATCTTTAGAAGAAATTATGCAAATATATTGAAGTTTTGAGTTATTTACACGGCAAGGATGCTATATAAGAAATGTAACATTTTGTAGCTATAAAATAAGAACCAGAGTGATATGATGAAAGTAATTAAGATTATATATATTATGGTCGCACCACCTCTAGTTGGTATATTACATATCAAAATAATAATAGATTGTAATAATATCAAAAATATCGTATTAAAAATTTAACTCAAAACTGTTTTTCAAAGAAGATAAAAAATAGCTTTCCTAAAAACACGTAAAAAAAGAGAAGAAAAGATATCTAATTTATTACATCCATTGTGGGATGAATAATAAGACGTTTATTTTAATAATATTTTAAACAAATAGATGGCGTTAAGTATTAGAATGCAAATTGTTACTTAAATTTATTATCGATAGCATTTATTATTAAAATTTTAAAATTTTTAACTGTAATATATTATATAACTGTCAAATATGTCTGTAAAAGTGGCATTTTACCTAATATTTTATAAATAATTATATATTAAAAAGGATTATAAACTATTTATCTACTTACTTTTTATAAATAAATATCTTATACTCATTTGGATTTGGAACTTGTTAATAATTTTAGAAAGAGACATAATAATTAAATTTAAAAATCAAAATGTAGTTGATTAGTGATTTAGAACTCGGCTAATGGCAATATTAAATTTGTTAATTTTCAATTAATAAATGAGAATATTTATTTAATTAAGGTTATATAATAACCTTAATAATATAAGTCAATTAAGCTTCAACTGTTAATGCTAAATTAATATTTAGTGAGTGATATTGATATATTTTTAACACAGAATTTGATTGCAAGACAGAGTGAACATATAATTTATATATACAATCTAATCTAATAATTAAAATAGTATTCATTTAATAAAAAATGATAGAGTTTTATTTATTTTTAAATAATAAAATTAAATCTATATATTACTCAATAGAATTATAAAAGAAATCGTTCAGGGGACATTTAAAAATATTTATTTTTAGTTTAAGGGGATATTAAGGAGCAATTTAAAAAAATATTTTTTGCTTCAGGGGGCTATTCAAATTTTTCAGGGGGCTCGAGCCCTTGCGCGCTCCCTTCTAATGACGCCACTGCCTTTCTTATTTTCTAATTTCTCTATGTTATTATTTATTTATTTTTTACTTTCCAATAATAATACCCAATTAATATTAATTAATTTTTTTACATAACTTATTTATTACTAATCAAATTAATTCTAAAATTCATTAACCATTTTAATTACTTATAATAATTATCTTGATATCATAAATTTATTTTTTATTTAAATTTATTACCTGGTCACTTAAATTTAAAAAAAAAACAAAACAATTATATGAATTTAATATTAAATTTATTAAATAAAATAATTAAGTATTTTTAGAAGAAGGACCTTTTTTTTATTCTTATATTTTTTTCTTCCACTCATTACTAACATATATAAATGGCTCGGGTGTAGTTCCACCCTCATATACTTCATATCTGGGTTACGAGGTTTGTTGGTATCCTTGAGAAAAAAAATTGGCATAATTATATGTAGGATGGGCCTTCTTATAATTCACGTACGCTCACCTCTGCGCAGCTCTATGACCAATGTGCTAATAAAGATAAAAATTAACTAAATATTGTATTTATTACAAAGTTTGAAGGTAAATATATTTATAGATGATAAATAGTTTTATAAAAAACAGTAAATATATTTATAGATGATAAATATTTTTGTAAAAAACACAAGCTAATTTTTAATAAATAAATTATCAATTTTCATAATTGCTAAAAATCGGATAATTGCGAAATTTTTAAATATTTTGGTCCCAAGCTATCGTAACTAAACGGTTTTGAGTATAATAGGGTGTGCAATATAAAATATTTTTTGAGCAAAGGGATAAATCTAGTAATTTTTATCCACTCATACAGACGCTGATATAATTCTATTAATTATTAAATCCAAGGAATACAAAGAGGAGAAGTTTGATAATGATAAGGATAGGGAAATGAATCATGGAAGGGATGATTGCATTCATGATAAATAAAAAATTATTGTTTAATATCTCTTCTAAGCAAGATTATATGATATTTTTAGTTTATATAAGAATCTATAAAATAATTATAGATGATTTTGAGCGGCATATAATATTTCTGATCACAATTCATTTAATGTAAGGATGAGTCAACATATAAATATAATTATAATTACAGCTCATGCAAAGGATAAAAAAGGCCCTAGGCTACTAACATTATAGTTAAGAGCCTCTAAATTTTGGTTTTTAGGTAAGATTGTTTTTTTTAGCAATTTAATATTTAAATATCCTATAATTTCAAATTGTGCTTTAGAATGACATGTGTCGTTCACAGCTGTTATGCAATGCTGTTTGTCTCTATTTTTATAATAGTAAACACAAATTGATGTCTTATAAAACTTTGGGTGAAAAACCTAAACCTTTTAAAATAGAAGAAGAAGGTGAACTTTATTACTTGGGATCAGAAGTATATCATTTCTTTTAAACATAAATTAATATGTACAAAGGTTGGCAATTATTTAAGACTATTTCGTGGATCGTTATATAAGAAATATCCTTCTCTATGGAGAAGGATAGCTACTCTTGATGAAAAGAAACAATTATATAAATTGGGTAACCAAATATTGCCTGTTTTTTTAATAAAAGTTTTAATTAAAAAATATTTTACCTATATTATAAAAACTCTGTTTTAATGATATTTATAAACAAAAATAAATATTCAAATGGTGTAGGTATCACTCAACATACCCTTGTGGTTAATATAACTTTGGTTAAGGCAAAAGAAGTTGATGATATTTTTGAAGGCAACGATATAAAATACAAAGCTGTCTCATTCAATAGTGGTCTTAATCCTAGTACTGCATTAGAAGGTGGAATTAATCCTAGGTTTTAGTTTATTCATTTTAAAACAAAATATTCTGTATCATACTAATAAGTTATTTCATCACTTACAAATATGTGTTGGCTATACCCAATTTTTCCCATAACTTCTTCAAATTATTTAAAGCTATTCTAGTGGATAGAGATAGATCCTAAACTTTAATAAATCCATCCATTTAGAGAACACATCCTAATTAGTATATAATCCTCCCAATATATTTAAATAAATATATATGAAGTCTGCCAAGGTTATTTAGCTTTATTCCTATGATGTCCAATATTATGGTATAAATTACATGCCTACCCTTCCAATTCCCGATTTACCATTGGCTACCAGAATTACTCAGGTGCCCATTTTTTCATGTAATGCCCTGGTGTCTTACATGTAATAATGCCTTTCTCCTTAATTTTTGTGAAATTATTACCACATTCCCTTAGTACATCTATTTTTTTTAAAATCCTCACCCCTGTTGCCATTTTTTCCCTGATAAATATAATTTTGACCAACTTGCTATCCTTTACATGATGCAATGATAAATTTAATACGATCTAATTTAAAGAGTCATCAATCTTGGACCTTCATGGATTCTCAAAGGGAGGAGAGGGAAAATGCTTCTCCTTAAGGTCTCCCACAAATTCTTCCTCTGCTCCTAATTTTGATGAAGTATTGGGCAAACAATTCTCTCTTCCCTTCCTATATTTCAATTCAAGTTGAAATTTCCTAATACAAATAACTACCTTTTATAATATCAGAGACAACAGAGCACTTGATTATCTTTCCTAAAAATATATTAAGTGGCAATAGTCAGCGTAAACGATAAATCTCTTTCCTAGCAAATATTCATGCACACAATCTAAACCAAAAATTACAGCCCAGCATTTCCTGTTAAATTACTTTATACTTTGTTTTCAAATTAACTCTTAGAAAGAAAAACAATGAGTCTCTCAATCCCATCCATAAAATGTAACAAAGCTCCTCCTCATCTACCAGATGCATCCAAAGTTAAGACAATAACTTACTGATAAAACAAACCAATGGGTACTTCTCCAATTTTACGTTTCAAAGCTTCAAAAGCAATTTAGTTCTCCTCCTTAGTAAAGGTGACTGCCTTCTTCATCATGTCAATATAAAGGTACTGATATCTTTTATCAATTAAATGGTGATAGTTTATTATAAACTGTTGTGCCTCCAGTTTCGATTTTACAATCACCATTACCATAAATATTCTTGAAATCTTTTGCCAACAATTATACTTCTATGCCATTTATTCTATATCACAGATGCACCATTTCCATAATCCCATACTCTTTTCTCACCCTGCATGTAATCATTTATCTTGGATTTTTACCCAAACTTTCTTTAACAGTCTATTATATGTTTCTATCATTGCCCCTGTTATAAGCAGAGATGCACTGATACTACTCAGGATATCGTCAAATATCGGCATCAGCCAATATTTTAAATTTAACTAACCAGGGTCCGATACTCAATTAGTGCAAATCTATGTGAGGTTATATAATATTATTTAAAAAATTTTTTTTATTAGATTATTCTGGGTCGATTAAAAGAAACATGATGATTGATAAAAAAAAATCCAGAACTTATAAAAACCGGAACACACCTTAAAGAACTGATATGAATTTATAAAACGGAATCGATATCAGTTAATTTTTTGGAGTAGCATGCTCAACCTTACCAATATATGATAATTTTTAATCTAATTAGTATAAATATAAATTTAGATACTATTGATATCCTTAAATTTTTGTATTCAAAATTATATTTAAACAAAATATTAGGGAAAACAAAATTGGCAAAAGAAGTTCGGCTGTTAATTCTATGTTACTTTTCAACAATCCTATCAATTCCACAATCATGCAAGGACCAAATCTTTTAGGTTAAATTTTAAAAGATATTTTAAAATAATGTGGAGATATTTCAGAGACCTGCAGGCCCGGCCCTAAGCCCTACCCTTGGGTTGGGCCAGACCATATATTTTAAATCGCCATTAACTATAAAAATTAAAAATAAATACATAATATTTTTAAACTAAGGGCGGGTTGGACCATGCAAATGGTACCTCTGCTGGTCTCTGAGATATTTACTAAATCTTTAAAACAAGCACACTTATAAGCTATATTATAATTAGAAACTACATACAAAAAAAATTAAGTTATTTTTTCTAAAAACGATAAATATAATTAGCCATGAAAAGGAATAGCAATATTTTGCTAAGGTTCTTCCAAATTTTATGGTTCTAATTTTTTCCTTAGGTTTTCCTATCTTTTTTAGTGGTTTTATAAATTTGGTGTTTTGCCATGTTATAATTTTGATTAAAATGTTTGTTTAAAAAAATTAAATATGGATAAAATTACATGTCATCATTGCCATAAATTATATAAAATAGAATCGTTAGTGTTATAGACACTTAGCTATTTATAAATATATAATATAATGTAAAAAATATTATCATTATAATAATTACATTAAATATTTTTTTCAAATTCTCTAATACATAATTGAATCTTAAAATTATATTCTAATTATAAAATTTAAAATATTCGGCTCCAAAAAATAAGGGTCATTAGTACTTTCTGATTTCCTGCAAATATCCGGGAAAAATATTATTTATTAGAAATGAATAGGGCTGTGGATTCACAAATTTTTCACGATTTTTATTTACCATCTATCTTTGTATCAATTAATAAATATATCAATACTTTATACTTTAAAAAAAAAAAACTATCTAACTTTCACAGATGATAACTTTCACGGATGATTAAGTGTATTTTATTTATTTTTATTTTTTATAAGTTAATATTCTCATTTAAAATATTTGCAACGTTTATGGGTGAATGTAGTTTTGTTAAAAAGCTCCATTTAGTCGATTTTTAAAAAGGACCAAAATTATTGCCTATGACAAAACAATAAAAAAGATTGGCCCGATCCGATATTTTTTGAAAATGCTCTTTGTCGATCCGATTCGATATTAAATATCGGCACAGCCTAAAAGTGAATGAAAACCTTGATCTAGATCTCTAGTAGAACCCTGCAAAATTTTAATATATTTTTGGCCAGGCTCAAGACAAACTTTGGAATATTTTATATACATCTTTTCTTTACAATATATGAATAAATTTAGGAAAATAATATATTATAAATTGATGGAGATATGATAAAAAAAATAAATAAAAACTCCTGATTTGCTTTGCATAAATGTAACGCTCGTCCTTAATTTGTTAAATTAAATATCTTATCAACCCCCCCCCCCTTCCCATTTTAAATCATAAATGAAATCGAATCCATTTTTCTTCTGACTAATCAGGAAACATCCCGTTAGGTGGCATAGTAGGCAACACAAACCCATCTAACAATTCTGCTAATGGCTTAAATAACGCCTCCACGACCTGGAATAATTCATATCACCTTGACGCCGTCCCTTCTGCAACTCCTATATCTAGAACTCGGGCTAATAAGAAAATCAGAAAGTTTTAAAATTATTTTAAATAAAAATGATATCACAAAATTTCAGTTTTTTTTAAATTGAATAAACGTAAAAAAAATGACAAAATGAATATTTATATTTTCGAAAGTCGTCTATTGAAAAGAGACGTCTATCGCGTTCGTTTACATTACTGCTAAAATGTCTTTGATTTTTTAAAGTATTTTTATTATAAGAAATTTTTTTTCTAAAATTAATTATATTTTCAATGTATACAATTTTTAAGAATGGTGTATGCCTAGAGATAAATATATTATATCAACTAATCTATCAATGCACATGAACTATACCGGATATATATTCTAGTCTCATAACTATATAAAGCTAAAAATAAATTTATACTTTATTATAGTTACGACGACATATTATCCCCACAAAACCTATATAATCCACACGAAGAAAAAGAAGGTGCGGCAGAAAAATGCCACGAGCAGCTGATACCTATCAGATTGGACATGGAAATAGATGGCGCTAAATTACGCGACGTTTTTATTTGGAACAAAAACGCCAAACGATCTTTGATTGAAAATATGGGCGAAATCCTTTGTGAAGATGTCCAACTCCTGCCTCTCTCCACCTATCTCCCGGCCGTTTGCCAGGCAATGCGACAACAGATTGACACGCATTTCGAAAATTTTTACTACCATCCCCCGATTAAAAAGGACATCTCGGATAGTTTAAAAAGCGTTGAAAATGGTGATACTGTAAGTGAAATTATACGCGGAAATGATGGCCAAGTTGATGGGAATTCAGTTGGAAATGGAAATGTGGAAAAGGAATCCGGAAAGAAAGAAAGTAATATCAGTAATCCAAAAGATCAAAAAATCGGCCAGGAAGAAGAAGAAAATGATTATTTGTATTCCATGGCATCTCTTGATCAAAGAGTTGTTATTAAGGTTTATAAAATACTATTTAAATGTGAATTTATTAAAATATTAAGATAATTTCCTTATATTTTTCATTATTTTTATTAAATTTAGCCATATTATAATATTTACATGAATTTAAAGCTTAACATCCACGTGGGAAATGTGAGCCTTGTGGATCAATTTGAATGGGACATCTCAGACCCCGACAATGACCCTGAATTATTCGCTCAAACATTGTGCAAAGAATTAGGCTTAGGGGGAGAATTTTTGACCTCCGTAGCTTACAGTATACGTGGACAGATCTCTTGGCATCATAAAACATACGCTTTTAGGTTTAAACCATTTTGAGAATTTTTTGTAATTATATATATAATTTTGATTTATTCCAGGAATACTTTATATTTGTATCTTTTAATATAGAAAACTTTCATAACATTCGTTAGGAAAAAAATAAAGAAAGAAAGAGAGGGATTGAACTAAGAGATGAAAGGAAGAATTATAGATTTGGATTAATATGAAAATTTCTGTATTTTATATCGCTTAAGAATAAAGGGTAGATTTTAAAAATCTTATATATATATTATAGACCTGCAGAAATACTTTTTCATGGCCCTGATTTTTTTTTTCAAAAATTTTTCCCGACCCTGTCCGGGTCTTATATTTTAAGATCCGGCTCTACCAGTTTTTTAAAATTAATTTTTATAGCTAATAATGGCGAGTTAAAATATTTGGTTTTAAAATATACCTCCTGGCCCAGGTTATTTTTTAAATTTTTTTTTAGGCTGACTAGGATATTTAAGAAAACTTTAAGCCTGGCCCGGCCCGGGTATATTTAAAAAATTAAAATACGGCTCAGCCCGTTTATCTAAACCGGACCTGCAGGTCTCATATATATATATATATCATTTAAAATCAGATAGAGGAGAAAATGTTATACGATAACTTCGTTCCTACTCTATGGTAGTTTTGGTCAATTTTCATTGATAGATGTCGTTTTAAGATTTAGAGTTCAATAAAAAATAGATGGAGATTCCTAACATTTAAAACATGAAAGCAAACTTTATAATTAGTAACCATTATACACTAACTTCCCTAACTAAATATGTATACTTAATATGCCACGTATAAATTAGTGAAGCTCCTTTACCTACTGTGGACAGCGCATTCAGAAATACTAATGACGTTGATGCCTGGTGTCCTTTCATCGAAATTTTGACAGACGCGGAAATGGAGAAAAAAATTCGAGACCAGGACAGAAATACTAGGTTAGTGGAATTTTTTTAATATAAAATATATTTTATTACTTTTTTCTCTTTTCCTTATATTTATTTTCTGAGAATTATTGGTTTACTGATCAAAATTTATATAGGCATTCATTTTTAGTGATCCTCGTTTATCTAGCATGCCTATATATTATTTTTTGTCTGCTCATAAATTTTTGCTTATTATTTGTGCTGATCAAATATTTAATTTGATTTCATGATATTGTTTTTATTCCTCAAACTTATATATTTATGATAATCATAAATAATAGAATAGTATTACAAATTTAACATCAATTTCAATTTTTAATATATTTATATTTAAGAATTTAAATTTATAAATCATAAAAAAAAATTGTTTCCCATTAAAATTATTCAGCATTTTATTTGATTATCGTTATCGTCATTTTACCATCGGTTTTAATGTTTATTATTATTTTAAAGTCTCTTATAAGTTTCGAAAATTTTGTTTATTAATTACATTTAATTATGTAATTAATTATCTTTTATCATTTCAATGTATATTTTTAGGAGAATGAGAAGACTGGCGAACACAGCTCCAACTTGGTGAATTATTGCTTTATCATCAAAAATATATTATTGATCTCATGAAATATAATAATTTTATATTTTAATTTTTTGTAAAGTAAAAATATTTTTTTATATTTTGAATTACTTTGTGATTGTATTTACATAAAAGAACAACTTAATATTTATTGTTAGAAAGAATAAAATGCACGCTAATATATTAGTTTGTTAAACGCGATGATATAATGTTTTGGATCCCAGCACTGCCATATTTTTTAGGCAAAGTGTTGCTTTAATAATTATAAATGCATTGCTGAACAAGAAAGATTCAGGTAAGATAACTTTGGTTTATATAGGTAAACTCCTGTATTTTTAATCTTATACAAAATGCTTTTTATAAGACTTGCTTTGTAGATTTTTTTATAGAATAATTAGACTTCCTTTCGGAGAGGCTCGTTCTGTCCTGGGTCAGGCCTGCGGTAATATAATATTTTCTTCCTTTTCATTGCCTAATGTCAAAGTTAAAAAAAAAATAAGAAGAAAAAAGCGCGACGGGAAATATTCCATTTTTATAATATATATTTTTTATAATTAGACTAAGATATAATTAAACATTATTAAATTGTCAAAATTATTGTTGAATATAAAATTTTTTATTCATTAATTAAGATATAGAATAAATATTTTTAGTTTGAAATTTTTCAGCTTACCCTGCAAAAGATATATAGCTATATATAGTAAAACTTATCTAGGCTGAACTTCATCTGTGGAATAAAGATATTATAATGAATATTCACTATATCAGGTTTTTAAAATAATATTATTTAATGATGCCGGGATCTTTGAATTTGGCTCATCACAACAAAATTTATTGGGTAACAAAGGGCTTTCACTAAGCCTATGATTTTTTGTTTATAGCTGTGAGGCGTATTTTCTATAGTTAGGTGTGAACTTTTATTAGCTCACCAATGTAACTCGTAGAGTCGTTTGGAACTGACACGGATCATAAAAGAGAGCAAAAGTGGTGATATCCATATTTTTGTTCTTTATTTTGTGACCAAGGATTCTTAGATTACATTTTCCTAAAAGGGCGGAGGATAGTAGGATTTAGTTAGATTGCACATTGTAGCTGTATCCTTATATTATATCAAAGGCATCTTATTTGAAAAGCATCAAGAATCAATGCGAGTTTTATAATATTATAATGTTATTACATACAATGCCTAGTATTATTCTGAAGTAATCTTAGTTTTTTTTAAATGGATCTAAAATAATATTTAAAAAAAAATTATCTATGAAGTCAACTAATAATTTTAGCCCTTAATAAGATAGAATTTCCAACTAAGCAAACCCCTGCCCAATTTATTTGATATTTTATTTAGACTAGCAGACCAGCGTAAATGGTGCAGTAGGCTCAAAATTTTTGGTATTAATCAAATAATCTTGGCACCATTTAATTTTCTTAAAAACTATTATCAATAAATCTTGAGTTATATAAAAGTAAGAAGGAGCTAGATTCTATGAAGTATTGATAAAATTTGATAATATGTTGAAAAAAAATTATTATATCCTTTAAAAAAGATTCAAGGTTGCCAAGGGTTGGTCCTATCTACCCTAAGGAAGTAATTGTTTAATTTTATAAACCCGAACTTGAAATATTTTTATTGGTCTAATTTTTTTTTTAGAAACTCATAAAAAATTTTAATATTAGCCTCCATAATATTTATTCGATTCGTTTACAGAGGATACCGGACACATCGAAATAGATTTTGGAAAAATCTATAAAATTTTGAGGCATTGATTAAAATGATAGGATTAATATCTCAAAGATTAATATGTTAATTTCTCTATCTGATGTGTATATGTTTTTATCAATATTTATTATTTTTAAATATTAGATTTTTTTACCGCAAATAAAGTGGAGTAATTGTAAAAATTTCAGAATATAAGGCGCACATTGGAAAATAATTTAAAATTAGTAATTTATTTTAACAGGAATAAAGATTTTACTATAAATTTTTTATTATCATTACAAATATAGTAAATATAAATTAATGATTTATTGACAATAAATTGAATTTTATATCCTGTTTTTATAAAGCCCGCCTAAGCATTTAAAACATTAGTATGTTTATTTGTTCAATATAATATCACGCCATTTTGAATTTGGGCAAGAAATTGTCAAAAAAAAATAGGAAAAATGGAGAAATCTCGCAGATAGATAAATGTTCCTACGTGCCTTATTGTCTATTTATTTATAAAAGCTAATATTTTCTATCATGATTAAAAAAAAATGTTATGTGTTAAAAAATGGTGTAAGCTTTGATATAAAATTTACATATGCCAGTTTGTTTGAAAATTTAAACGGGAAATGATTACACATTTTTCAATAAAATCAAAAAGTTAACGTATAGAGAGGGCTACAGTATTATTGTCATACATAAATATCATAATTATCTTTATTGTAATTGAATTTGACTTGAAAGGTTATTTTTTTTCCAAAATAATTAAAATACCGACGTTTCTTCTCTTACGGGTCTCCCTTATACCCTATTAATCTTATTTCTAACATTCATTCTTTTTATTTTCCTGGATCAGCCTAAAAAATAGGTATATCTAATATATAATATAGGTATTCACGGGCCTAATTTTTTATTCACGACCTGCACCCACGGTGGCAAACCCTTTTACGCTTTAAATTTTTTTTGACCCTCGCACTCACTAAAGATAATATTTTTATCACGCCCAAAAAGAATCAGTTTCCCCCCCCCCCTTAATTTTCATATTTTAATCAAGATTGCTATTGCAATGATTGTTGAATTTAAAGTACGGCTCATAGATTATTTTTTTAAACGGGTAGATTCCGTATCCCATAAATTCTATCATTTATACAAGTTATTCGAATTTAACGCTTGACATAGATTATTTTAACAATCATTTTTATAAATATATTACATTCGATAAATGAGTTCATTATTTTCTTAAGATAAATACTTACTATTCCATTGACATTGTTATAAATCGAATATAATATGTACTTCTTTATTTTTCACATTTCAAAGATTTTTAAAAATATAAATTAATAATTATGCTATATTAAAAAAAATCATGACTTTGATTATTAGGTCATATAAAGTAGGCATATAATCTACCTAAGATATATAACATTTTGCATTTTAAAATTAGTTAATTTTAATCAAATAAAAATTATTCATTAAATAACTGAAGCATTTAGGATTATTTTTTTTCTTCTTTCTTTTAACATTTTACATACGCAATCTTCTTTTTGATTATAATTATTGGTGATCAATATTATAAATATCTTATCGTCTTGATTTTTTTAAAAAAAGAATAGAAATTGAACTAAAATTTATTTAAATAATTTATGAGAATCTTATAATAAAAAAAAATGATGGCTATATTGGCATTTTACAATAATGTCCTACGTTGTTCTAATTTTTTGGTATTTCTATCCATATTAACAACCATATATTCAGAAATTAAAAGTGACAAATTATATATATTTTTTTTGATTTTGTTAAATAGTATTCTACCACTTATTATTATACTTAAACCCTGGTTAAAAAGGTGTGTAGTGTTGTATACGAGGCAAGGAGATTTGGTTTATAGTAAAATTTAATTTCCCAGGCAAATATATTCAGATATTAAATAATGCTTCCAGAAAAAATATAGTTAGATTTGGGACTGTTCATTCCAAAACTAGAAATAGAATTTAAACATGAGAGAAATAATCTATCGCGCAATTTTTAATTTAAGATTTTTTAAAAAACTAATATCTCATTTTGTTCAAAATATCAAAATAAAATCCCTTATCCAATTTATTAATGAGTGAGCCGACAATGGTGGGTGGCATTCATTAGATTCGTCGACGCCATTTTGCATAACTGCAAAAATAATAACATCGTTGCGTTTACGTCCGTCCCTATCATATTCTATTCGTCTATCGAATATTAAATAACAAATACCAATATTACAATATTCAATTCGGTTGAATAAACAATTATTTTTATTAATATCAATAAAAATTATTTTCAAAATATTATCTCTTGTCTAAATTAATATTTTGGAGAAAAAAAATATATTTATCACCTTTTTTTGTATTTTATCGCAATTTTACGCATATTTCAATGGAAATTACAAAAGGTTAGAAAAGATTTGGCATTTTTAGGTAAAATTTGAACAAAAATTCCTCTTCCAAATTATTTTAAGAATTTTTTCAAACTCTCTTTACAAATTTATATATTTTTTTAACTAACAATATATTGGCTAATGATTATGCACGCCAAGCGTGCACTGTTTTTCATGAATTTCATAAATTATCAAACACGTCAGAAACATCATTTATTTATGTATAAATAATGAAAAAATTGATATTTTAGTATTCTGTGTCCTAGTCGAAAATGCGTTGATCACAATTCCGATAGACATGGGTTAGAATTCAAAGGGTCATTTTTTCTTCTAAAGGCAACTTGGATGTTTTATATGAGGTATGATGTATATTAGATCGAATACGATCACGTGATTCTTATTAGAAAATAAATGTGTCTTAAATTTTGATGTTAGTTGTTAGCTAATGGTTTGACAAGTGTCATCACAGGCCTAATATCTTGACCCCAATTGTTCTATCTATAAATGGACATTTATATTTTCAAACTTTTAAATTTGTAAAAACTTATAAACTATAAAATAAATGCTTTTTCAAATTAATAGAGAGGATTTCTCTCTTTTCGACACAAAGAATAGAAAAAGATGTATCAAAAATTTTTAGAAAAAGAATAGAGAATTAATTAAAGATGAGGAGAAGAGAAGGAAAAAATTATTTAAAATAAAATTGGATATAGACGAAAAAAAATCAATAGAATGCTCAAATAAATATAAAATTGAAAAAAGATGACAATAAAATAGATTAAAAAAATAAACAGATGACAAAAAAGTAGAAAAGATAAAATAACAGATTAAAAATAACAAAAATTAAAGAAAAGTATATGAGAGAAAAATAACAGTCATAAATATTTATGAAAATAATTTTTAAAGCATTACAGAAAAATAGCGATTCCTTTTTTCGATTTTGAATATTTACCATTTATTATCGTCAGAGACCTGCGAGGTACGCACGACCCTGTTCGGGTTTATTTTCAAGCCAGACCGGTAGCCCGATATAAATTTTAAAATAAATTTTCGGCCCGTTTTGGACGAATAAAATTTTTTTTACCTCCCGGGTTTAAAAAATACCGATTTGGCGATATTTTTTCTGTCATAAAATTTATATTTCTTTATAAGTTTTGGTTCATGTTCTAATATCCAAGAAGTCAAGAGAAGAAGTGTAATATTTATACAAAAGCCGGCCAGTGGAGCCAGGTAAATGACACATGTTTATCTGCCATTTTATCTTTTTAAAAACTAATTTGAAATTATTTAATAACTAATAACTTTTAATATTATCTTCTTGATTCTAAGATTAATTTTTCATTACTATCAAAGATTTGTCTTCATATTTAGCGAAATGTGTATAATTTTGGAATGCTTTGTGGTTCTTGTATGATAATTAAGCTCTAAATTAATAACTATATTATTTACCTGGATAAAGAATATGAGAACAAATTAAAATGATATCATTGGTTTTGTTAGTTATTTTCTAATAATTTATACAATTTTATATCTAAATGTGGAATGACTGTAGTAATTTAGTTGAATTCGATTATTATATTGAAATTTTTTAAATCGTAACTCTTTTCTTATAATTTAAATAATTTTTGACTAAAAATAAATTAAACTCCTAAATTAATAACTATTTTATTTACTTAGCTTGATAGGGCAAATTAAAATTGTATGATTTCACTAAAAATTAAAATTATTATACTTATTGAATAATTTAGAGACTATTACATTTTTTTTTAATAAAAAATATTTTCAAACGAGACATAATGGTCTTGAAATGGATATATGAGAAGTGAAAATTTAGAAATATATTTTTATTATATACGATAATAGTAGAGTTTTAAAATATTCGGCCCAGCTCGGGTTTATAGAAAAAATAAATTCTGGCCGGCCCGGTTTGTTGGGAAATTTTTAGGCCCAGTCTGGGTTTGTCTTAACAAACGGCCCGGCCCATATTCCTGGGCTTTGGTTTAGACCTAGAGATTTCTGATGAGTACCTTGTCATTTGTATGGGAAGCCTGTGACAAGTTATATATTGATACTAATGTCATTTATTTTTAAATTAAAAAAATATATATAGAAATATATTAAGAAATTATCTATTCCTTTTTTGCAGGATTCGAAATCTTTATAAAAAAAATGGGAAATTTTTTTAGATATAAAATATATAAATAAATAAGCCTAAATTAATTTAATTTTGTTTAAAAAAAATAATAAAAAATAATTCCCGTACCGGGAATCGAACCCGGGCCGCCTGGGTGAAAACCAGGAATCCTAGCCGCTAGACCATACGGGATATATTTAAGTTGTTCATTTTTTTATATGATATACCAAATATGAATTTAAAAATTTATTGATATAATTTTTATTAATATTTTATAATTATGTATTTCAAACTACATTGTAAAAAAAAATCATAATAAAATCTAAATATTTTACAATGATTTAATTTATTTTATAACCATTTGACAATATTTATTATATTGCTATCATTTTGTATAAAAAGATTGTTCATAATTAGTGTACCTTTTTAAAATATGGCTCTTCTTGATGGAATTTGTTCAAAAATTATGGAATCCAAAAAGTTAGATATTTATATATTTAAGACTACTTGTAGCATATTAATATTATATTATATACATTACAATATAATAACTTTTTTAATATTATATTGCTCTTATTTTTTCAAATTTAAATGTATTTATTTTTGATAATAATTATGGCATAACTTTTAATAGTAATTATATTTTGACAGTAATTATGCCATATTATTCTAATGTTCCCAAATTGGAACCTTGAGCATTGAATTATTATATTTTTGTTAAAAATTTTTTTTTAAATAGAGATGTTGTATTTTGTTACATGAGTTTTATTTGTATTAATTAATTTTTTGAAGTTCTTGTTATAATTTAATAGTTTAATCTTGATAAGACCATTTTAGCCTAAAATAGCTTTAAATTCATTACCAGAGACTGCTAATAATCAAATAATATAACAAATTGAAAAAAATTTTGTGCACATATTACTTAAATTTAATTCTACTTAAAATTTGTATACTTTCAATAGTTGTATCATTTTATGATGATAAAAAACAAAATTGTATATTTTATAAGGTAATATTTTTTATGCCTTAATTTACTTTATATTTTTTTTAAAAAAAATAAATACTTTATAGTAAGAAAATTCTTTTTCAATATGAAAAATATAAGATTTACATTAAATTCTTAAATTTTATTCTTAATTATTTAATTCCCAAAATATAGCTATTATATTATAAAATTCAAAATTTTGTTTGGAATTTATTCTTAGTTTGATATTATTGAAATAAAAATATTAAAGTTGAAATATAATTATTTATTTATAATTGAAAAGGTAGTCTAATTATTGTAGGGAAAAACCTTTAAATTTAATTGAAACTTTGACATGCACTTCTTCTGGAAATCAATCATCAATTCATGTGATCATCGTTGTAGGACGGCGATTGGAAGGTTTTTAATACGAATACCCTCTCGCCGATTGTTCCACTTATAGTTTTAAAAATTACCAGCGCGCCTATTTATCTATAAAATTTAGTCTTCCTCGCCCAATATTTAGATTATTTTATTGGTTGGCTATAAAATTTTTGTGAGGAGAGTTATTACCTTATTACTTAAATGATAAAATATGCGATATTATAAAAAAAATAAAAGTAACAAATATAAGCTCTTCTTGTGATTTCTAATTTACCCGCCTTTCATTGTTTTAAATTTACTTTAAATCCGACAGCCCATTTTTAACTTTTTAGATCAAGCCTATTGCAAACCTCCAATTAAAACCCCTCACCATATAATAAGAATTATGCATTTTCTTATAAACCATATATAAAAAAATATTTTCTCTTTAAATTTATACTGAATTTGAATTAAAAGTATAGTAGTATACAAAGACAATAAATTTAATATTATATTAACAATTTTACCAAAATTTTATTAATTTAATATAGTTTGTTATTAATTTGAAATGATTGCACAGATAATACAAACAATATACTCATGCGACAATTTATGCCCATCTAAGTCACATAAGGTTCTCTTTTAAACTTTTTTTTCAACATCATAGTGCCTTCCTTTCGGCATTGAAAAAGATTGTTATCTGCTTTAAAAAAAGATATTATATGACTATAAGTAATACATTGATTAAAATCAGGATTATAAAAAAAAATACTTTTCTAAATTTTTTTTCTTTTTTAAAACTCTGCAAGTATTCGCACCGTCCTAGAATTATTTGAAGAATTAGAAGATAGGGATTTTACCTCGGCCAGTATATATTTAGTTCCTCCACAAGATTTTATTGAAAGTGAGGAAGACAGTTGGGATGAAGATAAAGATGACCCCATTGACAATCTCACCAGTAGACAATTGCGATCCCAAGCCATCTTGACTATTAAATCTCGTGATGATATCATGATCTATAATGAAAATATTCCATCATCTAGAAAAACAAACTTAAAATCATCTATAACTTGGGAAAAAACTGATTTGAATCCAGATTTTCCTATTTTTCCAACTCATGCGGACTATAATAATGATATGAAGTTTCAAGAACCAATAGATTATTTTGAATTATTCTTCGATAATGACGTCTGCCAAGCGTTGGCAAATTATTTTATTTCGTATGCGCGACTCAAAGGCGATCATCTTTTTCAGACCGATGCAAACGAAATAAAATGTTATACGGCTATTCTGCTTTTATCAGGTTATATCAATGTTCCCCGATGGCGAATGTTATGGGAGACACATTCAGAGACATACAATTGGTTTGTTGCAAATTCTATGAGCAGAAATCGTTTTGAGCTCTTAAAAAGATATACACAATTATCAGATAATAATAATCCCTTAACAGGCGATAGATTTGGTGCCGTAACACCAATTCTTAGCCTACTCAATCAAAGGTATCTAAAATATGCCCGAATATCTGAATTCATATCCATCGATGAATCCATGGTACCAAATTACGGCAAGCATAGCGCTTACCAATTTCTCAAAGGAAAACACATACACGTTGGTTATAAAATATGGTGTATGTGTAATCCTTCTGGATACTTAATACAATTTATTCCTTATCACGGGAAAGAAAATCAACAAAATTTGGATTTGGGGGTTGGGGGATCTGTGGTCATAAAATTGGTATCGTATTTGCCTCCTGGCCTTCCTTACAAAATTTATGCGAATCATTTTTTTTCTTCAATAAATTTAGCTTATCACCTTAAAAATAAAGGCATTGGTTACACTGGGACTATATTGGCAAATAAAATAGAAAAATGTCCAATTTGTCCCGAAACTCTAGCCAAATGTGCAAGGGGTAGCTATGATTATCGAACTGATGCAGCACAAGGTCTTGCAATTACCGGATGGAATGATAATCGTCTAGTCATGTTTATTAGTACAGCTGATGGAATTTTGCCTATAGAAAAAGTCAGCAGATGGGTAAAGATACATAAAACTAGAGAAATGATAGAACAACCCAATGTTGTCGCAAAATATAATATATATATGGGGGGTGTAGGCCACCTGGATCAGAACATCAAAGAATATCGAGTCGGAGTCAGATCAAATAAATGGTGGTGGCCATTATTTGGATTTGCACTTGATGCATGTGTAAATAACTCCTGGCATATATACAAAGAATCTAATCCTAAAAAGGAACTCGATTTATTAGGGTTTAGAAGGGCTATCGTGACAACTTACTTAATGAAGTATGGTAAAATACCAGCCTCAGCGGCACTAAAATTTCCCAGAACCTTAAATTCACGTGTTCCAAACAGTGTGAGATTTGATAGAGATGGTCATTGGCTAATATCATCTGATAAACAGAATAGATGCGCCTTATGTAGGAAAAACTCTCGATTAGTATGTGAGAAATGCAGGGTAAATTTACATATAGCCTGCGCTAAAACATATCATAGTCAATGTGAATAATATCTTATCTCTATTACCTCATTGTATAATAAATGCGTTAGATATTATTAATTATATTTATCTGTCTTGAATGTCTACAATTATATTTTTCTCTAGAAAATACGATACATGACCCTTCAATTAATAATTTTAAATTAGACTCTAAACATTAAAAATAAAGAAAATATTTTTAAAAAAATTAAGCGGGAAAATGGGTTGGGCAAAAATTGGTATATTATACCTTGAAAAAATTTATTGTATATAACATATAACAGAGTTTAAGGCTTTATATTTTTATCGTCGAAATTGTAATGTTATCGATCATTGCAATATTACTTTTTATAATTATATAGTCACACCATCTCTCATATTTATATATGTCATATTGGGATATGGAATTCATTGGGTTTCGGAATCTCCGAACTTTAGATAATTATTGAGAGCGATTTTTAAATCTTAAAAATTTTATTTGACGGGGGAATATATATTCCAACAAGTACAGAGTATCTATACTTGTAATTTTATTACATTTTTGCCGATTAGGATTGAAATGTTTTTTAATATAGATTTTTCATATAAATAAACAAGGTATATCGAAAATTATCCGAATTTTATAAGGTAGATAGTCTGGACATGCTAGAATACATTTCCGGTAAAAAATTAGATTATTCAAATAAAAAATCTGCTTCAGTAAATGATATAAAGTTGAAAGATTCTAAATCCTCATGAATTCCATATCCTAATAATATATACCTCACTTTATCGCAAAATGTATTTATTTTCAGAAATTTAGTAATGAAAAGTCAGTATGTTTCTAAAAAAAGGTAGAGATTTACCGGTACCATTTCTTTAGCCGCTCCGATACGAAAGAATAATAATATAGTATATATCAGAGACCTGCGGAAGTCGAAATTTTAGGCCCTGCCCTGCCAAATTATTCGGAGATTTAAAAAATTATTCATTTTTAAGCTTGATCCTAATTTTAATTTTAATCATTTTATGGCCCGGACAAAATTTATTAATAAAAATTTGTTTATTTTCAATAATTTTGGCTATTTTTTGCTAATCGTTACAATAGAAAATTTAAAATATGAGCAATAAATGAATATTAAATGCTCCATTATAAAGCTTTCCCACTGATAAATGGATATAATTTTTTTGTTAAAAGAATAAAAATAGGCCCAGCCCGGGTTTTTGATCTTCTTAAATTTCTATCTCCCGCTCAGATTTCAATTTTTTATCTTTAAGTCCTGCTCTTTTTTGAAAAAAATTTTTAAGGCCAACCCTGGGTATTTTTAAACACTTTTAGAGTAAGGTTATTGAAGAACCTCATCCCTTAGACCGTTGTTTCACCTTATTATATTTAAAATCAAAATATAACCGTTTTTTTCTGCTATACTTTTATATACTGGCCTTTTAAAATAAAATTAACAAAATATTTACTTTCAACCAAACTGTTTAACATCAAAATTAATATTATTAAAACACTGTCATATTGGGTTAGTTATTTGGAGGGAATGAAAAAATTTATAAAAGGGAAGGGGCAAGTAATACAATATCATCAAAATTATTATTTCCTTGGTTTTATATGAATTAGTTTTGTTTGGGTTTTTTATATAAAAGTGTGAGAAACCTATATGCATATGATATAATAGTCTATGATTAAATTTAATGATTGCTAAAAGTTATATGATTATTACTTAGATTTAAGGAGTTGGACAAGTAAAAAAATGAGTTTAAAATTTTTTTTTTTATAAATAATATGTTGAACGAAATATATAAAAAAATATTATTTAAAATAAAGAGTATTGTTAAATGCTATTGCTAGGAATATTTAATTATAATTTTTCTAAATTTAGTTGAAATTTTTTGCAATGAGTAAAATATCGGAAAATAGATATGGATAAGATCACAAGGAAAACAAAAATTAGTTATTTTGTAAATTATAATTTTTTTCAATGAAATATATTAGGTTATAAAAGGAAATTTCCGAGCAAAATAGGGAATTTGTTGAAGAAAATTCACGTGAAATTTTTTATTATTTCTTTGGAAATTTATCATCCTTTGCATCACTAGTTATAGCAGGTTTGTAATTTCTATAACCAAATTTAATTTTCGATGCGCAAAATGTTAAAATAAAATGATATGCCCATAATTATCTATTTTATCTGTATATGTATATGTGGATTAATATCAGATGAACTTATTTAATCGTTTGACATTTAATATAATATCCGGATTAACTTTTTGAATGATATTAGAAATATCAATTTTTGAATAGAGTTGCATTTTAAAAATCCATCTCATAAATAAACTTTAATTTTATAACAAGTGTTTAAAGTGACCTGGGGGGGGGGGGGATTTGCCTCCATATATTGGAAATAGGTATTTTCTAGAGTAATATAAATATCTTGAGTATAATGGAGTAATCTCCACTGTGTTGCCTCCATATTATTTTCTCTCCACTCTGGATTCAATTGAGAGGTAGATCCGATTGGCTCCCCTTAAATTCTGACAGGGGATAAATAATTTTTTAAGTTTATTAATAGGAGTATACGTACGATTTCACCGATTATATATTTTTTTTTAAATACTCAGTTATTATGATAAATCCGGGATTATTGATGATTTATTTTAAAAATTTATTCTAAAAAATATCTGGGTCTCCTTGCCTTAAACAAATAGTGGAACCAAATGAGTGCTTCTCTTTCATATGATATCGATATTTCCAACTTTAATATGATATCGATGTTTGCAACTATATGATATCGATGTATTCTTTAATACATTTTATAATTAAATTTACATATGAATGAAGGGAAGGTAGTTGTTTTTATATACCTTACAGGGGTAGGGAATAAAAAAGTTGGGAGTAGGAAGTATGTATCATACCAGTTAAAAAAAAGCTATTTCCAAATATTGCTTAATAGTTTCTTGAATTCTTTAATTGTTTAAAATTAATTAAAAATTTTTTGTTTTTAGATATAAATGCTCAAATATCTTGGTCTTATAGTTCTTTACCCAAAGACAGATACTTGGGAAATCTAACTAAGAATAATAAATTTTATATTTATGGTGACGTTTATAGCAGAGGGGAAGACACACTTATTATTAAAAACTTTATATACGATGGCACGACACCTTACAGAGCTCCACGTAATATATACTCTTACCTATTTAAATTTTATATTTGCTAAAAATATAATAATTCTTGTTATTTTATACTATAGATTAATAAATGTAAGATGGCTCGTTATCCTTTTACCTAATGTTAAAAAAATGTATAGTCAAATTTTAACTATCTTAAGATATAAATGGCGTTGGACATCCATAAATACTTTATTAAAAATATTAAAAATTAAATTATCGTAGAGTTAAAGAGAATAGGATGCATATTAGAGGCCCGTTTCAAGCTACACCCACTTGGAGGCGGGGGCAGACTAAAACTTTGGAGAGGCAGTTAAGAAATTTTTTAAACACCAAAGAACGAATATTTTAGTTATTTGAACACAAAAATGAAATATACGATTTTATTTGAGAAATACCACATATAAAAATATAAATGATCAAATATATTTATAAAATTAGATGGAAGATAAAATAAGTCCGATGTTCTATAAATGTACGTTAACATTCTATGCAATCAATTTGTGGGGGAAATGCGGTTCCACGTCAAATAGTATCTGGTAACCTATTTATAGAAAAGAATTTTAATACTGTTTTAAAGGTCAGAGTATTCAACAAATTAGGCTTACTATTAACTTGAGACAAACGGAATGATTGAGTAGATAATTATAAACTTAAAAACGGGCTATTAGACAGCAAGAGAGAGCTCCGGTCTATTAGTCACCAAGAGAGAGATCAGACTATAACATAGTACAATGGGGCGTTTGCTAGCATAGTTATTCCTGGAAGACGATTTAAAAACCTGTTCAGATTAAAGATCAGATACTAAGTATACACAAGGCAGATGTTTGACAATATTGAAATCCAACCATACTAACACATGAGGTAGTTTTTATGTTATGAATCTGTTTGAGAGGAAAACAAAATCCATAAAGATGAGAGAGTGAAGACAATCAGATAGTTATTAAAAAAATTGTAACTTCCTTTATAATAATGGAAAATGATAAAGAGCATATCAGTTGCGGAGGATACGAGTGAATAAAGAGGTAACGAAGTTGAATAATGAACCAAGACTATCGGAGAGCAAGAAAATTTTTAGAGATGTTGCTATTGATTATATGTATGAAATGAATGTTCTGGGGAAATAAGTTATGAAGTTCCGTATTTGTTGGATATATAGACTATTAAAGGATTTCTTATTAAATTAATATTATATGCCAACACGCAGTATGTGCAATGCACAGTTGAAAGAATAAAATGCAAAGCAATTAAATGCAATATTCCTCGATAAATAAATATTCTACTTGAAATAAGTAATGCAAATCGGATAAGTGAGAATTATCGGACGAATACGAGGGTTTTAAATTCCTTTTATATTCGAATAGTGTAAAATAATATCGGAGAAGATTTATTTAATTATAAAATATTTATTTTATATACAATAGTCCCATGGCATGTCCTTTTATTCTTTATTTAATAATCCACCAGCATACGCTAATCATTCGCCAATATCAAATATACTATAACCCTACTAGCCAACATCTGGTTTTTATTCCCTCTTTCTAATATATTATCCTATCGAAGATAATTAACCACACAAACTTAATGACAAAGAAGAAGGGTAATCAAGGAAAGTTTGGGGAAACCATTTGCATAGTTAATTTGTTATGATGGGTGGGATGTGAGCTAGCGGGTTTATATATTAGATAAAGAGGAATGCCTGATGTGGGCAAGTGGGATTATAATATGAGATATGAGAGATATCAAAAATTTATATATTCAAAAATGAATACGAATTAATAAAATTTAGTTTTGTATTTAACTTGAATTATTTGCTTTTCAGGCACATTATAAAACAATTTTTGTAACTTCTTTTATATAACACATCTAATTAAAAAATTAAGGGAACATGATTATTAATTAAAATATAATGTATATTAATTTAATTAGAAATGCCTAGCCAACTTATAAGGCATAGATATCTTATTGTTTCTTCCTTAATAAAGCATGCGATTCTTTGACAGTAAACTAGTTCCAACTAAGGTAAGCTTTTCACAAGTTGTTGATAAATACATTGTTAACAATTTCATCTGTCAGTTGATAGGTTATTAATAAAAATGAGAAATGAATTAAATTTATTAAACAAAATTAACAAAAGTTCCGAATAATTATCTATTCGTATTCAATAAAAATTTATTATTCGTAATCATTATTAATCGATTTTGAGTATTAAAACCCTGATACTTTATCTATTTCAATTATTTAATTTGAGCAATAGGTTAAGATCCAATTTTCTAAAATAATATAGGACATAGCTCCTTGTAGATGTTCAGCGCCATTTTCAAAATGTAAAAATCTAAAATTTGAATGAGCTATCATTTATTTATATCTACTAATATTAGAATTTGAAGAACTCAATGATAATATTAAGAGTAACCCAGATTGACTAATCATTTATTAAAGGTACATGGTAATTAACGATAATAGCCAACTCAAGGAATCTGCAACTCAAGGAAATTTTTTAATTAGAGGAAATATATACAAAGATAAACAAATAAATAGATTTAAAGGTTAGAAAGATATCGGTTAGGATTAATTGTAAAGGGTAAGATATATTAAAGAAGGTTCTTAATATAATATGATCATATTTTTTAATAACTTGACAAATCTGACAGATCATCTGATTAAAAATAATTTCCTTGAGTGGGTCGTAATCAACTATAGAAGTTATTTTGGGATGCACACTAAATAACATTCATCGCTAAAAAATTTTCTTTTTAAATTCTAAAAAATATAGTATGATAAATTATAATAATTTTTTAGAATAAAAAGTGCACACCAAAATGGCACATATAGTTGATTCTAATATACGTCACTTTTAATAGGCATATCACTCCCCTTCCCATAGGAAAGGGAGTAGTTTTTAAAACTGTGGTTGTGATTCCTTTTTAAATAATTTTAGTTTCCCACTTTTTAGGTGAAGGAAGCTGAATAAGGCATAGGTTCTTAAGGATCAGTTATCTATATCATAAGTCTATGCTATGGAGATAATCATAATTAGTTTAAAATAATTTTTTCGAAGACTGATATATTTTCAAGATCCCCCTCCCCACCATTAGTTGCGCTATGATTTTTATGTGCCATTTTTATCATATAAATCTTAGTTAAGATAATTTTTATAATGATATTAATATTATCTTTATCTTTCATAGTTCCAAGATTTCTAATAGGCTTAAAGAAACGTGTAACTAATAGTTTTGTGGACTACCCACCAAGTATATCCAATCATCCAAATGTCAAAGATGGGCTAGTAATTCCGAATGAAATAGGAGTGTAAGCTTAAAATATATATCCCTACGTTTTCTTTTTTATGTAAACAGGTTTAAATAAGTTGCTGTATTTTTATACCATGATCTTTTTTATATACATTTATTTTTTTAAAAATATATCTTTTATATTTTATAAACATATAGGATAAATTCGCCTTAACATATACATGCATTTTCATTGAATTTTTTTTTACATACACTGTGTAATACATAGTTTAGATACATTTCGATTGAAATATGAAACCCAAGAGCTGGCATTGCCGCTGCCATACGGTATTCGTGTAAGCAATTTAAAATGGCTATCCATATTCAGCTTAGAATATGGGGTAAACATTAATAATACATGATATAACATGGCACTAAAACCTATATTATTTAAAAAATATTTACAAAATTAACAATATTGGGCATGGGCATTAAAAATAGTGGTTTGAATTAAAGTTAAATTATTTTGATTAAAATGTAGGATTTAAAAAAATAATATTTTTGTTTAATATTTGTATTTTATAAAAAAATAGACACCATATGCAACAATTTACTTCCCATAAGAAACATACAAAAGAGCTTATCTTATTATAACTTAATTGTAGATGTACATATATATTTAATTAATATTACCAATATCGCGAACCATTTATTTATTTGCAAATAATTCTTTATACTTCACATATATGTAAATTATATAAACTGTAAATAAATAAAATTGAATAATATATTTTTAGAATTATGTTACCTTACTACCTCGAGCTTTAAAATTTTTCTTTAATTTTTAAAATAGACCAATCGATTTGCGGTGTGAAATCACATTTCTTACCAATAAATATTATAGCGGAATACCTTTTTGCGATAATTAAATATATTCAAAATTTCTATTTCTTAATTCAATGACAGCAATTAATGTTTATGCGACTAGTTGTACCACAGACAATTTAAGTAGACATGAAATGCTTACTTGGGTCAATGAATGCATACAAAGCCATTTTATAAAAATAGAGCAGCTCTGCAGTGCTACAGCGTATTGTAATTTTATTGATATGCTTTTCCCAGGTTTAACTTTATTTAGAATATATCAAGTAAAATTTTGTTAATTAGAAAATTACACCTTTATTTTGTATTATTAAATATTATTTTTGTTTCATAATATAGGTTCTATCAATCTGAAAAAGGTTAAATTTACTGCTGCTTTAGAGCATGAATATATCCAAAATTTTAAACAATTACAAGCAGCTTTTAAAAAGTTAAATGTTGACAAGGTTTACATCTATATATAACTAATATTTATATACAAATGATTTCATAGTTTGGATAAATTTTTATTATAATCAGCACAAAATTAAAAATTCTTAATTAGAGAAATATTTTTATGTAGTTTCATGTTTTAATAATGTATAACTATTTTAATTGATTTTGTTGTATTATTACAATATTTTCTTAATTTTATTCATTTAGTTTTGTTTTTTAATTATCAGTTGCACTAAAATATATTTTATGGAGGTTTTTTAAAAAATATTTACATTAATTTGAATATTTTTTTTATATTAATATGTTAAGGTATACTTCTTCTTCTTAAAATTTATAAAAAACTTAATGATATATTTTTTATAATTTAATATATTTTTAGTTGAAATTATATCATTATAAATCTATTTTTTGAAAAATTGATTTTTTTTTGGTAAGATAGTGTTGACAATTACTTTAATTTTGGGGTTTATAAAAAATGGTTATATCAAATTTAGCTAAACTAATATTACCTAAACCTCAAGATTTTTGCTAAACTAAAACATTGATTTATCTAGCTATCTTTTAAAAATTGGTTATGTTGAGATTTTTAACAAAACTAGTTAGGACAATTAACTTTAAAAATAAAAAGATTTAATTTTTCTGGTATCTCTAGGTTTAAATTCTAATATAGTTGTTTTTAAATTAATTTTCTATAAATAGAATAGTAAACACTCATTGATATGATTGTTGTCATAATTTTACCAATTAAATGGGAAAAAATGTTTAGAACAATTATTCCAAAAAAACAATAATTATGTAAAAATAATGTTTTTTCCAATAAATTGATAAATTTTATATTAGAATCTTTAATTTTTTCATATTATATAAAAATTATCTTTAAGAATTGTATCAGGTGTCATGGAAAGTCTTGATGAACCATTATGATTATTCGAACCATAACCAAACCATTATTATAAAATCTCTAAAGTAGAGCTAACTCAACCATTTAAAATACTAAGAACTATTTTAAAAATATATTTAATTTATTTATTATAAATGATTAGCATAATCTTAAGTATAAAAGTATAGATTTATATGTGATTATATGTCACTTAATTTTTTATGTTATATAAGTTTTATAATAAAATAAAGCAGTAATGAGAACCCTCCTTCTAAAAAAATGTGTTCGGGTTTGGGTTCAGTGAAAAATCTCTGAACCTGGTTAGGGTTCAAGTGGGTACAGGGTTCGGAGACCAGAAAAATAATGACTTATTAAACATCATTTTTTTAAAAAAAATTTATTTTAATTAGTATCACCATAAAAATAATTTATCATCATAATTATAATACTACAATACAATTTAAAAATTTACTATATATAACAAAAATAATTACACGAAAAAATGATCCAAAAATGTTTTTTAAAATTAAAATATAAATATTATAAAATTTAAAAAAAAAGCTTGAACCCTAAATTTAAAAAAGGGTTTGGGTTTGAGTTCAGCAAAACATTGAGGGTTTGGGTTCGGGTTCTCGTCCCTGAAATAAAGTAATTTATTTTCTTTAATTTTTATTTAATATTTATTCAAAAAATTTTTTAAATATATTATTATGGGCCAATACAAAATATATTTTATAATTAATTTAAAAAAAAAGCCGATATGAATTTCTAATCTGAAACAAACTGATATAAATTTATTCAAAAATAACTAGAACGGAACTAGATAGTTTAACTAAAAACCAGAATGGAACTAAACTATTATACATAATGAAGTAAGTTACTAGCTTATTCAACTGAAGATTTTCTAAAAATTTCTAACATAAGCTGAAAAGTAAGATTCTATTTAAAATGAACAAAAAAGGAGAAAATTCTATCTACATTTAAAAAAAGTAACTCTACCTAAAATTTACAAAAAAGGATCACATCTAAAAAAAACTCAAATTTTTTTAAGGGACTTTACCTCATAACGATGCTACTGGCATATTGGTTCAAAAATGTTGTTAAACGGCTCGATTTAGTTGATTTTAAATTAAGATTTTCACCAAAATAATATTACATAAGCCTCAATAGATGTCCAAATCTTTCTGCCATCTATGAGCAAAATCTCCACGCTTGCATAATATTGTTTGCTAAAATAATGGGTTAGCCACTTTTAAAAATCGAGCAGCTTAACAACACTTGGTTCTATACCCCGAACTGTACCATATTTTTATGTTAATTTTATAAATTAATTAATAAAATATGAGAAATTATTTGGTAAAATTAATTTTTTTAGATGAATTTTAAGGAAAAAAAATTGCTTATCAGTCAATTTAAAATTTGATTTTATTCTATCTTTAGAAATACAGAATTAAGTCTATATATTTTAACTTAAATTTATGAAATTTGTTCTATCTTTACAAGATTTTAAGTGAAATTCCCTTGTAAACTATGCGTTATATATTAAAATTTGCCCCCATATTATTTTCAACTATATCTCAAAAAAATATTTTTTTATTTCTCACCGTTTTATTTCCCACCGTTTTATTTCCCATAGAACATAGAATAGCTACTTCTATTTTTCAAGATTTATTCATTAGCTACACGCAATTTTTTTAACTAAAATGTAAAATGTTGGTCATATATTCTAATATCATGTATTTCTCTATATTTTCCATCATTTGTTTCAAAAAAGGAGGAACACTTGTCTAGGGTTTAATTTTAATTTCTTTTTTTTTAAAAAAAGATTTTTTTTTATCAAGCCTAAATTTTTACAATTTATCGATTTTTAAGTGTTAACTTTTATAATACCCCATAATATAACTGTAAATAGCTCATCCCTCATTCACAGTTCGCGCAACGGCGAAATATACAAAATATGTATTTTTGTACTGTGAATATGGGTATCATTCATAATTCGATCATCTCACACCATGTGTCCCCCTCTCTCTAACTATTATATTGTCGAATGTGGTCAGAATCGTGTTATCTCGTTTAAATATATTTTATATTGAGTAGTCATTGTTACACATAGGACCCTGCCCGAAAAACCGGGACTGGCCCAGAAAATATATCGCGATCGGACCGGATTCCGCCTATATTTTTTATCCCGGACTACCTAACCGGATCTGATCAATTTTTTTTTATAATATTGATATCAATATAGCTTGATCGATCAAAAAAATTAGTCACCGGTTTTGCAGGTCTATATTTTATCTTAAAATTTAATAAAATGGAGTTTCTGTATTTATGAAATGATATACCGCCTCCAAATTAAAATTAAAATTTTTTTAAACGTTTTATTAAAAGCCTTAATCAGTATGCATATTTAAATTAGGCGATTTTATAAAAATTCATAAAGAATTTTTTTTAAAGTCATTTAATCGTTCCATGGCGTTATTAAAAACCTCTATTTGGCCTATTTGCAAATAAAACCTGCTAAACCAATGTTTCAGCCAAGATTTTTGCCAAAAGAGACATTTTTTGGCTGAATGGCTTTATGTAATATTTTACTGGCTAATGTTTTGATATAATTTGCATTTTTAGAAACATAAATTCCATCATACAAAAACTAAAAAATCATATAAAATGTTGTAATAAAGAGTTTTTTTATTTATTTATAATTGTAAAATTTAATACATATTTTGGTTATTTGTGAAATTATTTTTTTTGCGCGGATCAATTATTTTTGAGTTTCCTTTTTCAAAGTCAAAAAAATACGCGTAGGTTACAAAATAATTAACTTTGCTGTTGTGCCCATTTACTGAAATTACTTCTCTCCGAGTAATTCTTAACTTTCAAAAAAAAAATTAAACAAAAATATTTAGATAAAAAAATTAGAAAATCTAAATATTTTTGTTTAATATTATTTTTTGGAAGTTTAGAATTTATATTGAGAATTGCTGTTGCGCCGATTTACTGAATTACTTCTCTTCGAGTATTATGAATTCTTAATATAAATTCTTAACTTCCAAAAAAAATGTTAAACAAAAATATTTAAATTTTCAAATTCTTTATTTTTTTTTCTTTTTCAAAATATATTATAAAAACTGACTCATGATGAGTCTCTTTTTTCAAAGTCAAAAAAATACGCGTAGTTTACAAAATAATTAATCCGCGTAAAAAAAATAATTTCACAAAACCAAACATGTATTAAATTTTACAATAATAAATAAAAAAAACTCTTATTACAACATCTCCACCCTTCCCCACTCCAACGTTCCTTATTAGAGGAGGTAAGGAAGGGTCTATATTCTATAATCCAAACAATTCTGCCAGTTCTCCCGTGCTTACTCCTACCTCCAAAAACTCTTCCTCCGTTACAGCTTGCTTTTCTGGCGCTTCCCAGCTGACAAAGTTTTATGCCAGTTTGAGAGCACTATAAATTATAATATAAAAAATGAGTAGAGATAGTAGATAAAACACTAATAATTTGGCGTAAACTGAAACATATGGAATAGCTAAAATAATATCAATATTATTATAATTTTATCATCGAATCGCTATCACAATCAACTTAAATTAAATTTATATGATGAAAATAATTTAAAAAATAAAATAAATATATATAACAACTAAATTTAAATAGTGGTAATTAGTTTTTTTTTAAAAATGCATTATTTTATATTTTTTTAAAATATAATTTCAAAATGCAATCGATAAAATAGAAATACATTATGTAGAGCTGGCAAAAATATCAATATTTTTCTCGGCTTTCAAAAATAATTCCTGGCTAAACACCATTAAGTATCAAAAATAAGTCCTGTGTCTTAGGTCGGCTTAATTTGGATACTTAATTGATTTTTAGTATAGGCTAAAAAGATTTTGTTAGGTAGAATTTTTTTAAATGAGGAATTAAACGTGATAGAAAATTAAAAGAAACTACGCCATGTAGGCTTGCCAAGAAAATCAAAATTTATATAAATTCCCTATTTTACTCCTGGAGTGCCGTATAGGCAGGCTTGCACAAGGAAATTAAAATTATTATAAATTCTCTATTTTACTCCTGTTATATTCAAATCTTATTATTTTTCGAAAGATGATCTTCTTCATTTATTTATTCTATGACATCTCTTTTCCTTCTCCTTATACACTTATAATAGAAACTTTAACGAAATAATTACATAAAAAAATTATTTTATTTTCCTTTTTATTATTATTTTTTTTCTTTATTGAAAATGAAACATAATTTTCCTATGAATGTGATGAGATGACTCTTATTTTAAATATACTCGCCTTGACTATAAACTTTTTTATTTTACTTGAAGTAAACTTTTTTTTTTATGAGGAGAAGGGGGGGGGGGTTATAAAACAATGTCAAATGTTGTATCTTTAAATTATTTATTCGATTCAGCCATTGTTTATTCATTTATTCGCAGTGGCAACTTAAGAGTAAGGTCCTTTCCTAAACAAGCCATTTTTTTATCAAAACGGGGGAAAAAAATTAAACAGCCGTTATTCTTCCAAACTTAAACCATTCTCTTTTCTCAGCTGAGTATTGGAGTAATCTAATCACTAATTTTCAAAGAAGAAATATTTTCGGTCAAAGTTTTTACAAGGCTGTTAACATTGACAAAAAATAAATGAGTAATTATTAGAAACATTATGTAAACTTTTTTTTTTATTGAATTATATAAAATCTCTCAATTTTTTTATGTTAACTCAAATTAAACCAGATTGATTACGCCAAGAATTGAATTTACCTCCTTCCTCCCCTTAATCTTAAAAACCCATTCTACACGAGTAAAAAAAATTGTTGGAAAAAGAATAATCTCTATTCTTGATATGATCATGATTATTTTATTCGATTTTGGTCTTATCACATAAAAATGCAAATCTAACCGAATCAATCGTGGCTTTCATATTAAGTATTATTTACGATTTCTAAAATTTTACCCTATTATTTAGATCATACCAGTGGACAAATTAGTTAAGGGCCGATTTCAAGATAATTTCGAATTTGTACAATGGTTCAAGAAATTTTTCGACGTCAATTACAACGGAGATCACAATGGATATGACGCGTTCTCCGCTCGGGATGGCGTCGATCTCCCACCGTCCTCCCTTAATATGAGTATAACTAAAAATGAAACTTTAATGACTTTTAAAAAATATATGGTATAAATTGTTATTCTAATAAGCGGCTAGAATAAAAAAAATATGTAATTTTTTTTCCATTTTTTTATTCGCCAAACATATTTCCATTGCGTAAAAAAATACACAATTTTATGTTATAAATTTCGTAAATTAACGCTGAATGCAATTAAATATTTTTTTTAAAAAAAAATTAATTACCTTTTTAATTTTACAAGACAAATCTAGAAATAAGATCTGATCATTACACAAGAATTATAATAGAGATAATAAAAAATAAAATATATATTCAAGTTTCACATTCTATGATAAATTTTAAATCTTTTTTTTTAAAAATTAATATATAAAAAGATATATGACGATTTAGCTAATTTAAACACATTTTATTTTGTTCTTTCATTTGACCTTTATATTAAATTTTTATCTCCTCATGTTCCATTTCATGTTATGATAGTATTAACTATTATAACCATCATCGTTAAATGATCTCATAGTATACTATATACCAAATTGAATTGTAACTTAAAATAAATTGAAAAGTAAAATAATTAAATTTTTTGCTGATTTCCAAATTCGGCTCGATATAACCTTTGTCTGAAACCGGCTAATTTTTTAAATGAGGTCCTATTGTGCCGAGTTCGAAAATATTGAACATTTGACCGATTTGGTCGGATCTGAAGTAGGACTACCAGATTCCGCGCTTATCTAAAAAAGGCCGCATGTTTATTTTTTAAGTGTATTTGCATTTATAATAAGCGCGTTTCGCTCAAGCGATGCCGAATTTCGCTTCGCAATCGAGCCATAAATGGTATAATTTATAAATACTGAGCTAAATATTAGATAAGTTACACATTTTAAAAAAAGCCTCAAAGGTATCAAGCGCTCCAAAATCATCTTACTCAAATAATTCGAGCAACAATTTGCATCACGCTCCCGCTCCCAAAAAGATTTCTCCTAAAACGCACATAAGCCCCATTAATAATACTCCACAAGGGGCCAGGACACCTAAGGTAGTTCCCAATATTTCCAATAATGTTTTGGGCAATAAAATTGCGAACAATGGAAACATCGGGGGGAACAACGTGAACGGAAGTAGTCAACAGATGTCTGAATATAAAAAAGAGGTAATGTTAAATATTATATTTTACCACAAAATTTTATATTTAAGAGTATATTAATATAAATTTATTTAGCGTAGAGGTTAGCAATTAGCAAAATTTTTAGGGGTCTGGTTTGGTTGGAATTTAGCTTTTGCCTGGCCTGACCAAATTTGTACCCAGCTCAGTAGGTTTCTTTTTTTTACTAATGTTGCCCAGTGGTTAAATTAAAAGCACTGCACTTTCTGGATTATCACTTGTATCAAATATCAGAATTCACCAATAATCTAGTCCAATAATTTTTTTGCCCGGCTCTGCTCAAATAAAAAAATTCAAATGTCGGGTTGGGCTTTGCACACCTCTAGTTTACATTAATAATGCTCTTTTTAATAATTAAATAAATATCGCGAGTTTGCCACTAAGGCTACTAGCACACCTGGCTCGTGAATTCAAGTCATCTCTTGTAGATTTTTAGTTTATTTGGGCCTAAATTGATCAAACTTTTTATTAAAACTTAATTTAACTTTTACCTTAATTTTATAAATATATTAATTTCTTTCTATATTTGTTAAGTTTTGCATGGCCAGCCCAAGACCGATTCTACATATTCCAGTCAGATCCAGTTCTATTTGATCCGAACTGGTCTGATGCGACCTGGCTAAACAGGTCTAGTCCGACATACCCGTATCGCTGGCCGGGTAATTGGTTTAAAAAAAACAAATAATAAAATATTGGCCTGATTCATAGTTTGAAAAAATATTAATTTTATACCGGTCGGTTTAAATCGGAGTCAATTTTTAAACTAGAAACCGCATCGCGATTACGATAAAAAAATAATAAGAAGGAAAGACATTTCTAGAAGATTAAGGGAAGGCGAATGGCAAGAAGTAGCCAAAAACTTATGGATGCTTATTTGTCAAGCAACGAGAATTTTTTAAATGTCGTCTTCATTTTAAATGAAAGAAAACGTCTAAATCTTACTATCTTCGATTCCTTATCACATAATTTTTGTAACAAATAAAATATAATAGATTACGCATATATAATACACGAAGTTATTCTAAATATATTAGAAATATTAATTTCTATAAAAAAAATCGAACTACGAGTTGACTCAGGAGTCAGCTCAAATTGGAATCAAATTTTTTGACTAGAAACTATTCTAGTCATGTCTTTATTGACTTTCCTTAGCCAGTTAACAACACTATGCACTTTAGATATTTATTTCCACGATTATTTTTTGGATTATATGAGTCTTGACTATAATTGGGTAATTACTATATTTTTAGCAGTTTAAGCCAATTTTTAGCCGGCTAAAAAATCGGCTATACCAAGTTTTTAGCCGAAAACTATTATTTTGGCTTTGGGGTTTTTTTAAAAGAGGCTTAAATTTGGAAGAAACTAATATAAGTTAAAACGCCTTTATGTTAAAGCGCCTGAAGATATAGCCGTATTAGCCGATATTTAGCCATTACCTAACTATAGTCTTAACCAGGGATGTGAACCCTTGGACAAAAAAGGGTCCGGGTTCGGGTCCAGTAATAAATTTAAAAAGGACCCAGGTCAAGGGTTCAAGTCCAGGTTCAGGGAACATAAAAATAATGACTCAAAATAAGACTTCTTTTTCATTCATTTTCTATTATACTTCAATATATACACATTCATATAATTTATATTTTAAATATTTTATTCAATCGCACAACTATGATATCTTCTAAAATAACATCCTTCAGATTTCCACGTAAATTTAGACAAAATATATTTCAACAATGAAAATCCACGTACTACGCTTACCTAAAATAGATAGTGATTTTTATAATACATAAATTATTGTACTTGTGTCGCCGGTACAGCCATGACGATTCTAGACAAAGTATATAATTCTGGATATATTGAAGAATTTTCCTCCCAGAATTTTAAAATATTTGTATGTTTATTTATTCTCAACTATTGGAGAACTTTTCTATTAAAGATATAGTAGATATTTTTTGCTCCTTTCTATCAGATGATAATTTAATTTTTTTTTCTCTATCTAACCCTTTCGCGCCCGACTTTTTTTCCCTCGATGAAAAATTTTTTTATTTTTAAGAGATACTTATTATAGACACAAATAACACATTCTTATCAAAAAAATTTATTTCGAGTATATCTATCAAAAAATATTCAATGATTCCAAATGTCATCAATGGGCAAAATGCAAGTTCATTTTAAAAAATATTTTATTTCATATGATATGACAAATAACAATTTCGTTTATTATTTAAACATATTATACTTTTGACACATAATTCTTGAATATGCATATACGCAATACTAGCACCTTTGTTTAATTGTTACGGGCTTTGGGAAATGACCTACTTGGTCATATCTTATATCCGATATGGGGACAATATTTATGGCTTTTCTTCTCTTTACAACTATACTGGAAGGTCTTCCAGTCTTCTTGTTATTATCCTTTCCTGCTAACATCAGCCCTTTTGCTATTTGAGATTTAAATACCAATAATGTCATTGTCGTAACCTTTATCTTCTCTGTTAACCATGTTTTTGTTATATTAATATGGAAAAATTTTCGGATCAAAAGAAAACGATTGCAGGACATAGTTTCTGATACTTGTGGAATAGATGTCTCAACCAACCAATACTGCCGTATAGAAGGCATCTTATCTAAGCTAGTATACAAATGTATTACAATAAATTTTTCAATTTCATTCCTATCAGTATTTATAGATTTTCCACAACATTGGAAGGAATAAATATTTGTTTCTGATACAAAATTGCTGATCATTTGGTTGTATAAAAATTTACGAATATAGGTTAGAGAAGTTGAATCTGGTTCAGGAATTTCCACCATAGGAGTAAATTATGTATTCATATTTCCAATGTCTTTCTTAGACCAAAGAGGGTTATCTTTTATTTTAGTTATAGTAGTATCTTCGATTATATCCTCCAATTCAAGACCTAGTTTATTTGTAATATAAGATGAGGTTGGCAAATCATCTCCTAGCATAGGATAATAATTGTCGTCTTCATCTGAGCTCTCTATATCAGCTTCAGAAATATCACCCTCGGGGATAAGTGTAGTCATATCTAAATGCATAGTGATTAAAAAGTATCTCATATTATTACATGTATATATAAAATATTTATTAGGACCTCTCCCTATATCCAAGAAAACTATTAGACATTAAATAATCAATAGAGTTAACTATTATCAAAATAATATGATTACCCCCCCCCCCCCACTTCCGTTTTAACCCTAAATCTAAATACCCTAAATAATTTGACTAAAATTCCCATTTATTGATATAAAAATATTTTAGTGCATAAGAAATGACCATTGATGCCAAATGTCATTATGCTCAAATTCCAGCACTTAAAATGTTTAAAAAGATGATAATTTTTATATAAAAATATTAATATATATATATATATATTAATAATAAAATTATTACGTATATTTTTAGCAAGTTTTGATAACCGAAAAATGAATTAAAATTTTGGCGCAAAAATGGTAAGAAAAAATTGATTTTTTAAAACTATAATATGATATAATAACATATGAAACAAAAGAGTTAGTGATACTGATAAAATACGAAAGAGCAAATATTAAAAATTAAAAATTTGATTTCAAAAGTTATCAGTGGCCATTTTTAATGCATATAAATTACTATTGAAAAATTATGATTCCAAAAGTTATCCATGGGCGCGAAAGGGCTAATAGTAAAATTTCCAGATCATCAATATTGTTATCATTATTATTCTTATCGCTACAACCAGTAGATATTGTTTTAGCCTCCAATATATTGTAAATAATAGAGTTTTGGGTAAGCCATACATCCTCAAGATGGTCTATAGCCATTTGTTTTTGCTCAATACTTAATAAAACCTGATATCGAGGGTCTAAATATATTGAAGCATATACAACACTATTTTGTAAATATAGTTCTCTAATTTTCATATTTTCTAATACTTCATATGAAAAAGAACTTGTAAATCTCTCTAACTCTAATCGACATCTTATCCATATGCCATAAATATCCGATAAGCATAACTGTTCTGCTTGCAATCTTAATGTAGTTATTTTTAAAGCAACCAACACACTAATAAGGTCTTTTATTTGATTCCAATCATCTTCCGACAATATGACTTCACATGCTCCTATGATAAAATAATTACAGAAATCTTTCAAACTTATTAATCGCTCTAGCATCATACAAATAGAGGACCAACGTGTTGTGCAATCTAAAATTGCCATTTTCCTTTTCATAGATTTTAATATTCTTACAATTGTGGGAGTTCTTAAATATTTTACAACATCCCTTGATTTATCAATTATAGTTTTAAAGTGACTATTTTTTAGAGAATCATTAATAGCCAATTGTAGCATATGGGCTGCACATCTGATACAGTATATTTTTGTGGAGAAATCTTTTGTTATTTCCTGTAAATCAATTTCACTGATGTCCTCATAATTATCATCATCATCTATATCATCAATTTCTTCCAGTGAACATTCATTTAATAATTTGATTGATTTTCTAGATTAGCACCATTATCCGTAGTAATTGTATAAACGTTATACTTATAGGAATATGAAATTTATTTAATGTTTCTAATATCATTCTTTTTATATTTTCAGAAGTTGAACTCTCTTTAATCTCCTTCATAGCTAAATTTCTTAATATTGTATTATTTCCTTTTAAATACTGTATATTTATTCCTACAATATTTCTCCATAATCTTTGGGCGGAATCAATTTTTAATGAAATTAATTTGTTTTTTGTTTTCTTTTATTATTTTTGCTTGTATTTTTTTCTATTCATTAACCACTTAATCCTTAAATTTATAGCGGTTAATTGATGTTCCAATTGCCTTACTAATAGATTCAATAATTGTTTTTAAACCTGAATCCTCAATAATATTGAAAGGTAATTTATGGTATCAATATCTAAATAAAATGAAATGAAGTCCAGGAAGAAAAAGGAAAGAAAAACGCGAAGATAAAATAAATGATTCCACGAAAAAAATTATAAAAATTTTATAGTATCAAAAATTAATAAAATTATAAAAATTTTATATTAATTTTTTTAAAAAAAATTTATCATTAAAATTTTTTTTATAACACCCTGAACCCTTGGACCCTCCACTTTTTAAAAGGGTCCGGGTTCGAGGTTCAGCCAAAATACGAGGGTTCCGGGGGGTCCCGGTTTCACATCCCTGATCTTTACCCCGAAAAATAAGTGGTAACCTTTTTTAAAAAATAAATAAATAAATTTATTCTATGAAAATTAGATCGAACAATTGACCAGGATGCTAGAAGAGACCGATATCGAAAGAAACTTTTATTACTCAAAATTGAGGAGCATCGAAATGTATTGCCAGGAATTGGAAGTCAAAGGAGTAATAGACTCCAATTTGGAGAAAGTACTTTCAATCATTTACTCCACCGAGGTAAATATTAAATATTTTTTTCCAAACTTTAATTCAAGTTATTTTTAAAAAACATTTACTTTTCATTAGCTCCAATTTTTTTTAATGTAACTATTTTCATCTGGTTCGGCAGGATTTTAGGATGTAATCACGGTGTTCATAACCAAACCTAGGACTCGACCTTTAACGTATTCCTTAAATATAACATTTTTAATGTGGATGAATATAAGTCATCCAGGCGAATCATAATTGATTGAGAAAGAATTAGTATTAGCTAATATAAAATATATATTATTTATTATTATTCATTATTTGTATTCGAATCCTCGATTCATTCATAAATATTACATTAAAATTTAAAAAAAATTTTGAATCATGCCCCCACCCCCATACTTTGCGCGATTTTTTTTTAAAGGAAGGCTTTGAGATACCCGATGAAATTTCCAATAACAATAATAGTTCTTATCCCAATCATGATTCGAACGCCGCCCAAAATTCTGATCACGATTTGATTAACGACGGCGGAAAAAATGGTGCTACTACCCAATCATCGTTAATATCTAAAAATGGGAACAGTACTACTACCAACCAAACCTTCGAGAAAGAGGATCATCACGATAAATATGAAGAGAATCAGGAAGAAGAGGAGGGGCTTAACGAATTCGATTCTTACGAAAAACAATTGATTGATAGCTTTTATTTTGAAAAGAGATGAAATTTTGTTATTTTTTATTTATTCATTAATTTATCATATTCGCGAATATTCTTTGCTCCAACTACGCTTCCTTCGTGCTCTTCTCATTTCGAGTAAGAAAAAATACGTTATAGAAAATTATATTTAATTTTGGATACTCTAATCTTGTCATTCCGTGATTTTTTTTGCGCAGCTTTTTATTTTCTGACAGTCATGCATGATGTGCTTTTGGAAGATTTAACATGATTCAAATAATCGTTTTTTCATATCTTGTAAAACAGTATAAAAATTTTTATTTTGATATGAAAAGAAAAACAAGCCATATAAATAATACCCGTCGCTACATCTTTGTATTTGTTTTATGGAGTATCAAATGAAAGATTCTAAAAATTAAGCTTTTATATGTATGCGGGCTTAATGTCTAATTATGTTTTTAATTATATAATATATTTTTTAGTGTTGCTTAATTTTTTTAAATTCTCTTCTTCAAAGAAGTGCATTGTCGAATGATATTGTATGTAGTTTGTCTCTTGTTGTAGTGTACTTTAGACTAGGGTAAAATTGGAGTCTATCTGATTATTTAGGTTAATAAATAAATCTAAATGTAATATTACGCCTTTTATAATACTACCATTTTTTATTATAAATTAACAACATTTTGGGAGTCTTTTCTTTTATATTATGTTTTTTAAAGAATTATGTATATACTTTTATAATACTATGAATTTAAAATAAATATTGTATTGATATTCTGCTAATTCCATATATTACATTCAAATACTGAAATTACATTTAAGTTTATTCTGTAATTTTGCTAGTTTTATGCATGTGTTCGCTTTTAAAAATAAATATGTTATTTGCTTTAAGTTGGGAAGTAATAGTCAGAGTTCGAAGTTATTATTTTTAATATATAATGTTTTATAGAGAGAAAGGTAGCTGGATTGATCAAATTGCTAAAATCTTTTAGTAAAGAGAGGAATGTGAATAATTATAAAAATTAGTTAAAAGCTATAAAATATGCTTGCTTTCTTATATATTACAGGATATTTCCAAAAAATACTTCTTTTTCTTTTATCTCAATGCGAGCAAATCCTATTAATTTAATTATTTTTACCAGAGCGATAATCTATTAAACGATGCCTTACCAGTCGAACAAGCCGGAGGTGATCTTATTAACAACGAAAGCCATCAATTGGAAAATAACGATGATTGAATAACCATGAAATATCGCAATATGTCTACTTTTACATAATTAATCTTTCCTTTTTTTTCATTCACAAATTCATAACAATTTTTTTATTTTATTTTATTTTTCATTTTTATTGTTTTTTAAAATTATATATTTTTAAATCTAATTATAATGCAAAAAATCCTGATTAATTTCTACGATATATTTTGCTATTATTATGCTCATTAAAAAATAGACTAACTAACCCCCCCCCCTCCCCCCCATTATAAAAAAACCAGCACTATCAAATTTTTAACCCGAAATATAATATTTTAATTATAGGCGATTTTGTGGATAGTAAGTAGTTAAGTATTAAGATAACCATATTATTTATACTACATCCTTTTTTTGTATACAATTTTAAAAATATAAAATTTGATAATTGTGTTTATAATATTAATATTGTACTACATATACCTATAATTATATACTGCAGATGCGGAGAAAATACTTGATAATTCCTTATTATTTTATACTACAACCATTTTCTAAATTATTGTGTATTTACTTAAAATTAATTCCATTTTTAAGAATTATCCATTTGATACTTAATACCAACACAAAATGATGATATGACTTAAATTTTTTTTCCCTTTCCTGTTTTGCAATTTAAAATAAAATTTTTTATATTTTATTTTTAGGGCGCTTGAAAATATAAAATACAAATAATAATAATAATTATAAAATCCACTATCACATTATATGCTTACCTTAATTATATATATATATAAATAACTTGTCTAGAATATGATATATTTTTTAAAATATTATCGATTCTTTCATTAGTTATTTTTTATAATCTAAATTTTTTTTAAAATGTAGAAAATATCACTTTTGTAAATTTCCATGTTCCATATCAGATTTATAATTATATAATTGTACAATAAAAATATTTTTGTGGATAGTTAGATACCAAACCCATCTCTCATATCATGCTAATATATTTTTAGCATTTTATATTCATAATATTTTTGATATAATCTCTTTTTAAAATATAATAAAATATGTTTTCGATTTTAAAACCATTTATGATTATTTAATATTTATTATATAATAATGATTGTTTATATTTTAATAAACCATTTATTTTTTTATTTTGTACAAATTCTTTAATAACCTTTTTCATAATATTGCATTTTAGAAAATTCAATATAAAAAATTGGTTAAAGTTATAAACTTCTTCATATTTTTAAAATTTAAAATGATTCCTTGAAACTTAAATAACTATCTCGAATAACTAATCTATTTTCATCTAGCAAGGAGTGGAGATGAAGATCGGATTTAGTTACTACTTTATTAATAAATTAAATAAAAAAACTTAGAGATTTTTCGCATACTAAATTTTTTATATAATAATGATTAATGAACATTAATTGAATGAATTATTATTCCTTGAAACCAGTGGCGTAGCTACGCGGGTGGTTTTTAAGTTTGGACCCCTCCCAGAGCTAAATTTTTTTTAGATTATACGTTCAAAAGACTTAAAAGTGACTTTATATCAAATAAATACCATTAGTATTTATATTTTTTGGTTTTGATTTTTGTGAAAGGATATTATATTACTATTGAAATTATTCTGGGTAGTATTATTATAAAGTCATTGAGAATAATCTATTCAATTATAATAACATTATTGATGCTTGTAAAAAATATATTTATTATATATTATCGAAGATATGGTTATGTAAGATAACTCGGCTGAATGCCGGGCAAAAGGGCCGAAGGCCCGTTAAAGGGGTCTGGGGGCGAAGCCCCCAGGCTTTTATATGTATGGACCCCCTCTAAGAAAAATTTCTAGCTACGCCACTGCTTGAAACTATAATTAAGATTAATAATTATTGTAAAAATAATCATTAATTGGTGTCATTTGATCATATTTTGAAATTATATTTAACTTTAACATCTTGAAAGAGGATAGAAATAGATAATCCCGAAAAACGTCATTCAAAAAAATAATATTTTTTTGGCCTAGCATTAGATTCTATACTTTGTAATTGTCACGAAGCCCTTATTCACGATCGAGATTTAGGCTGCATTCAAAGTGGAGACGGATCCGTTTTTTACATCCATTCCGTCAAAGGTCAATCTAATTAAAAATGATATATATTCAAAGTGCGTCCGTTCCTATACCTTCCGTCTTAAAAACCGATCCGGCAAATTTTGAAGTCAAAACATTTTGACTTTTTGATCCGGCAAATTTTATAGAGTGTTATAACCAGCGTCTACATGACAGGATTTTCACTGGATGCAAACCCCCTTCAAAAATCTTGCCTACCCTCACCTTTATAATTTTATTAATACTCTTTTCAGAGAATTTATAAGGATAACTTAAATTAATCTATCTCTACTACCAACTATCGATACTTTAATATAAAGAATTTAATTTTTAGATAATAAATTCAATTAAAACCTCCATTATTTACAATGAATTAATTATTATGGCATTATGAGCTTGCTGATATATCTAAACCTTTTAAATTAAAAAGGATGGCAGAAAGTTTTATTTGGAAAACAATGTGTATGATTGTTTGCAATATATACATTTGGTCGATAATTGTATTATAATATTTTTATAATAAAAGTATTAATTTTTACAGCAATAAATTTTGTCCTATTTCATCTCAAAATTTAATAGATAACCCCCCAAAAAATTTATCCTACCCCCATTAAAGCAGCCTACCCCCTCAAAAAATAGGATACAAACTGTTCCTACCCCTCCCGCTCATGTAGACGCTGGTTATAACGTTACTTATAATTTTTTAAAAATAAAAATCAATATATATATCATTTTTAATGAGATTAACTTTTAACGAAACGAATGTAAAAAACGGATCCGTCTCTCCTTTGAATGCAGCCTAAAACTTAAAGGATAGCTCAATCTTAAAATAGTCCTGCCATAAGGCTTAGCGAATTTTTTCGACTTATAATTTAGCCACTTTTACAACGCTAAAGGCAAGAAATAGTCAATACTAACGAAATCTTTTAAATATTTAAATAAAATTTAAAATTTTCAAATAGGTAGAATGTTGTAATTTACTATGAAATAATATATTGATATTTTTCTATGAGGTCCTTCGTTGTCCTTTTGCAAGTTAACCATTTTTTTATTAATCAACTAATATAAAAAATATATCATTAGGACGACTCTTGATAATAATAAAATATTATTTTTTTCGGTAGCAATCACCCGCCGAAGTCTACTCTTACCCCCACCCAACAATTCCATGATAATAATTTTAAAAACTCTTATAATGAGGCACCATTTATAACCTCAAAACAATTCTAATTAAACTTTATCAGGCCTCATGATTATTTATGCCAGGAATAAGAAATAAACATTAGTTGGTGATAATCAATACTAACAGTATTCGAAATATTAGCCACGAGCATGTATAACTTTAAACTTTACTAAAATTTTATCTGTGAATGAATGAGAAATAAACATTTATCAAAAAAGTTAAATTTTTTTTATCTTTAATTAACGATGATTATTATTCTATCCCATTTTAGATCCCTATACCCCCTTTTTACCCTCAAAAAATAGCTACCCTTTTTCTCATGTAGACATTGTATGTAGGTAAATATTTACAGATGTCGCTAGAAATTTCACTTTTATTTTAAAATATACTTTGAAAAAATCCAAAACTAGTAAGATTAAAAATATATAAATTTATAATTTCTCAATAAAGCATCATGCAGACTCAATCCAATGCATAGCTTTGAAAAGAAGGTAAAATGACTTGACTTGGATCTATTTTAATAAAATTATTTTTTTTTTATTTTAGAAATTGTCGATATATACTTTATTTAAAAAGAAATTGGCCTGAGCAGAGTGTCAAGGCGAACCTCGAAAACCGAATTGATATAATTTGGTATTTTTTAATCAACCTGTATCGAACCTTTTTGAAAAAATTTAGAGGAGCTAATCGTACATTTTTGAACTATATAAACCGGTTTAAACGGGTTTATATAGGTTTTTATTTTTTAGATATTATTTAATGTAATTTAAAAAATCTCTTTAGTCTTTGAGATATTTATATCCAGCAGTTATTTTAAAAATTTTATTAAGGCTATGTCCTATATATAAAATCTCGAAAATTATGCGAATTCAACAAAAAAAAATCTCAAGGGAATCATTCTGGGAATTTTGATAATATTTCCTCCATGTATGGCGATTTTTTTAAAAACTCAATTTAAATACAAATGTTTGCTTTCCTGGCATCATTAATATTATTTTCAATATTAATTTTAATTTTTTATGGAGATATAAGCGAGATTTCTATTTTTTTCTATCGATTAAACCGATAACGGATGGAAGGGTTAATTTATTAATAAATACATATTCCAATTGGGGGTATTTATTAAAAAATAGAATGATCCTTATCTTCAAAGAATCTTATTTGATCATCTTTACAAGAATTTTCATTCAAATCCTCATCAAAATTTTTTTATCAAAATTTATTCTCAATCCATATTTTTACCATCATATTATAACTGGACACCGAGATTGAAATATTTGAATCACAATCTACACTTACAAAGTTTAGAATTTGTACCCTTAATTTGCTTTATTTGTGAAAATGGTTCATAATGGGGCTAGGACAAAGTTAATCATATTCTTTTGATAAAAATAGGTACTATTGACATATATTCTTTTTAAAATAGATTAACAATTTTGACTGTAAAATATTGATTAGTAAAAATGTAATAAGTAAAATAAAAAATTTTTGGGGTTGATAGAACTTAAATTATTTATAAAATTTAAAAAAATATAATATAAAAATATATTTTTAAGAAAAATTTTAAGTAACAAGTAACGCCTTGCATTACCATTTCTTAAAAAAAATAATCGCGTTACTCTACCTTTTGAAACAAATAACGAATGGTGTTTTCCTCATAAAAGGTAACGCTGTTATTAAATACATTATTTTCATCGACATTATTTAAGCACTATTTTTAAATCTAGGACTAGATAAAAGGACCAACAATTCAATTTCTCTGATTAGACTCACAACATCTATACCAAAAGAATGAATGAACATCTTAGGAAAACACAAACTTATACCTGACTCTGACTGGAGGAGTATTGTTAAAAGGGTAAACTTTTGATTTGGGCAATACTCGAGTCTAGTTGTAAAAACTTTCAAACTCATCGGTTCATGAAGTGAGAATAATATAAAAATATTTATAAAAAAGAACTGTTTTAATCAAATTAAACATTTTGGAATTCAAAGGGAGTTTTTATTTTTGTTTTATTTCGACTCGTAAATTAGACTCCTAAGCCGACTTGTGATTTCCATTCCTATGCCATAATAAATATATTTTGCTTTTCCATCCGAAATAAAATATTTTCTCTGGGATTAAGGAAAAGTAATTATCAATTTTTATTTAACTTTATAAAAATGCGTATGAATTATATTTCAACTAAAATCCTCAAAGAGATCCAGGCCTAGTCTAAAATAGATATACAATAAAATATTTAAAATTTTTATTGACATCTCCTACTATCAGTAAAATTATTTTCAGCCAAACTGTATTAGCGTTTAACTAGTGCTTTGCAAGACGTCATCAGCATTAATAATCATATCTCAAAATTTTTTTTAAAATTGTTTTCAAAATTACCCTTTTTTTTTAGCTAACCTATCCACTTTTTTTAAAAGCTAACAGTATCTAAAATTACCATTTTTCTTAGCTAACATTATCTAAAATTATTTTTTTTTCTAGCTAACATTGTATAAAATTTACCTTATGTTTTAGCTGTATATGAAAAAATTCTAATTTTGAGGGGCTCGTCAAATTGTTGAGTCGAATCCCTGTGACCCTCTCCACTGACGCTACTTGGAATAAAAGTGGTGTATTTAATAAATAGAAAGAAAAAAAGTAAGAAGGAATAAGTATCAATTATCAAGAAAGAAAAAGTACCAATTTATCAAGAAGGAAAAGTATCAATTTATTCTGATACTATTAGTACTGATACAAATGTATCTTAGCAGTATAAAGATAATTTAGAATTTTAAAAGTATCATCGATACAGTTTTACCCACACAAACATATATTGGGTGCAATATCGCCTGACACATTTTCCCAACACATTCACATCTCTATAATTTTTAATTACATTTATATCTAAATATGATATTTCATATCGAAAATCAATCTTTAAAATATCTGTTTGGACATTGTGTCAAATAAAAACATCTTTTAGTTGACATCTATCATGTTATCAATTTATTTGATAGTTTTAGTAAATTCATTTTTAAACATGAAAAATGGATAAAAGCAAAGTTATAGTTTGTGACAATGGCACAGGGGTATATATTTCAATATTGTTTATTTAATATTTCAAGTTTTTTATATTTAATGAATTCATAAATTTTTTATAACAGTTTGTTAAAGTTGGATATGCAGGGTCCAATTTTCCTGCATTTATATTTCCATCAATGGTTGGCAGACCATTGTTACGTTCAAAAGTTAAAGTTAAAACAAATTTCGGGGAAGAAATTGAAATAAAGGTTCTTAAAATTTATATTATAATTATAAATTTGCAGAATAAAAATTGTTAATAGAGTAAATTCTTTCTTAATCAGCACATAAAATTTGATGAAGCATATTATTCAAAGTTTAGTATATCTTGACGCTAATAAATTTATTGTACTTTTTGTAATTCTATATCAAAACCATTTTTAGGATATTATGGTGGGTGATGAAGCTAGTGAGGCTAGACAGTTTTTAGAAATATCATACCCTATGGAAAATGGCATAGTTCAAAATTGGAATGAAATGTCACAAATTTGGGATTACACATTTGGGTCAGAGAAATTAGATATTTTATCAAATTGCAGTGATTGCAAAATCCTGTTGACTGAACCTCCACTAAACCCCCTTAAAAATCGTCAAAAAATGGCAGAAGTATAATTTAAATAATAATTTAAATATATTTTAATGTATAACAATAAATTTTAGCGTATAATCATGTTAATTCATTTATAATTTTTATAACATTCATAAATTATATTTTTATAAATTTCTTTAAAATCAACAGATCATGTTTGAAAAATATAATTTCAAATGCATTCACATAGCTATCCAGGCAGTTTTAGCCCTATATGCTCAAGGTAAAGTACATATAAAAAATACACCCTTACAAGATTTTTAAAAAGATTATAAACAATATATACATTAAAGGTCAGCACAACCTGGCACGAAAGCTTAGCTCACAAGCTGGGCCATGTCAAAGAAAAAATTTGGACTAGGCCAAATACAAAATAAACAATTTTATGACCTAGGCCAAATTTTGAATTTCTTTTAAAGCTATTAAAGTAAATTTATATAATTTTATTTCATAAAAAATTATCACTGACCAAACCAGGCAATGTGTACAAAATATATTTCATGGGCTAGAATCATTACATACTGAGCTAAAAAACCTGATAAGAAATTTCTTCTCTAATATTTTGGCTGGGCTATGATGTTGATCTCTAATGTACATATTAAACAAATAATTTAAATTGAGTAATATAAATGTATTGAAAATAAACAATTTATACACTGTGAAGTAATTTTTAATGCCCCTTATGTATGATTCTTGAAGTTTTAAATTCACTCTTGTACCTCTTTTCCTATTATAAACATTTTCCTCCCCCTATTTATGTTTATCTGTATGAGAATTAGAGATCTGGCCACCTATTTTTTTCAGGTCGATATAATTAATGCTGGAATCATAAAAAATTTACCTATTTAAATGAATAAAATATATCATCATATAGAAAATTATATAAGTAATACATCCCATCATATAGAAAATTATATAAGTAATACATCTCAAATAATTATTTTATATCACAAAAAAAATTAATGTACTATATTATTTTTTTTATAGCTTTTTTCAAAGACAGAAAATATTATAAATAATGCTGGAATCAAAGATATCATAATCTTGTATCTTAATCTAATGTATGACTAATGTTAAACTACAAGGATCCCATTATGTGTTCATAAAATAAAGAATACCAAAAAAACCTTGTAGAACTAATTAATTAATCGCCATAAAATATAAATACTTCTTTTTAAAATAAATATCAAAGAAGTTTGTAAAATATAGAATCAAAAATCTGAAATAATAAATAAAAACAATTAAATACAAATTATTTGTAAAACAAAAAGTGTCTAGTTTGTATTGTTTTCCCATTTTACTTCCTCGTTATTTTTTTATTATACAGCTTCTTCATCAAATTTAAAAATATTTTCGAAGAAAACATTTTAATTACCAATCTCTAATTTTTTAAAAAATATTACTTCTGGTTTTATATTTTCCTATGCAAAATTATTTTAAAAATATTTATTTTCATATTAACCTTTTTAGGTGTTATTTATATAAACAATTAATAAACGGTTTAATGAAATATAAGGTCTTTTAACTGGCGTTGTGATAGATTCCGGCGATGGTGTGACCCATATATGCCCGGTTTATGAAGGTTACGCACTCTCCAACTTGACCAGAAGACTTGATTTAGCGGGGAGAGATATCACCAAATATTTGATTAAAGTTTATTATATAATATACTGTTTTTTAAAAATTCAGATATTACATTTTAATCAAAATTAGAAATAAGCTAAAACAGATTCATTTTTTATTTTTAAATCCTTTCATTTTATGAGCCGATTTCTGGGGAACCTTATATTAGTGATCTGCATCGAGCCTAATTTTTCAAGCCTGGTCCAGCCCGAATTTTTTTAAAAAAAAGTTATGTCAGCTTTACCTGAACCCGAAACATTTTCTAAAAAGTTTTGCCGGCCCGGCCCAAACTTATTTAAATATAGAAATTAATTTTTATAATTACTCAAAATAAAAGATATGTTATATGCCATCTAGTTCCATAAATAAAAAAATTAAATATTTTTATTTTACATAAAAAATTTAATATAAAGTTGATAAATTTAAATATATTTTAAATAATTTCCAAGACCAGACTGCCCCGAATTTTATTTAAAAATATTAGGCCCAGCTCGAAGCCCGTTCAGGCCAGGTCTACTTTTGCAGATCTCTACCTTATACATTCTGCATAACAAATATTGACAAATCGCGTAACCGTTTCTAAAAATGCCAGAATATCGAATATTAATAATATTAAATTTTTTAATATGGATGATTAATAGTTCTCAATACCCTTATATTATATTTATCATAATAATACACAGCTTCTTCAATTGAAAGGGTATTCTTTCAACCACACAGCCGATTTTGAAACAGTCCGAATGATCAAAGAAAAGCTTTGTTACTCTGCCTACGATATAGAACAAGAAGAAAGGCTTTCACTCGATACTACTGTTTTGATCGAAAGTTACTTGGTATTGTTTTACCTAATTCCCCATCCATACCTAAAGTGGCCTATTTAGGATTTTAATTCAGAACTCCTCCGAAAACGGCAGGTTCGCCTTCACATACAAGCTCCCCCTTCCCCAATGCTTGTTGGCACCACATTTTGCCGATAATAGATATTATGTGGATTTATATCGGCCTTATAAAATTCGCTTTTTTATTCTAACTAACTAGTCCTAAATAAATTTTGATAGCTAAATAAATTCGATATTACGCTTCTGGGTTTAGGTAAATTCCCTTTAACCTACCCAATCATCCAATTATTATTCAATCAACTAAACTAAATATTAGATTTTATTTTACATTTTTATCCTAAACGCTAGGGAAACTGGGGAATTTTGGAGTAAGGTTGTAAAAAACCAAATTCGGGTCGATTTTTGAAAATGACCTGAATAAGATTTTAGCCAAAATTATATGTAAGCCTCAAGATTTGGCAAATAGAATCTATGAGCAAAATCTTCAATTTACATAATATTATTTTGGCTAAAATCTTAATCATATCGTTTTTTGAAAATCGATCTGAATTGGGCTTTTTAACAACCCTACTTTGAGGCAGGTACCTTAGTCCACTCCAATTTATTTCCAAGCTTTCATTATATAAGTGCGAAAATTTAAACCTTAATTGGTTAAAAAAGATTTATTATTTTAATTTTTAGAAAAATAAATGCTTTAAAATCCCAAACAGTAACAAAAAATAAATTAAAATCTCGATAAATAGAATTTTAGGTAAGTTTAAACTTTATTTTTGTTAATCTAGCAAATTTTTCAGAATGATAATACATAAATTAATTTGATTTTAAATGACACTTATAAAGTTAGAAGGGCTGTTAATAGTCGCTAAACGTTAACTATTTATTTAGATTATACAAAATGCAAATAAATGTGAAATAAATATTTATCCATCATAATATTTGTTTTTATTATATATATATATATCTTAGGGGTTCTCAGCAAATTCATGTAATAGACTTCGAGTTTTTGGCAAATTTTAGAAAACTTAATTCATTTTATAGCTTGAGTTTTTTACATTTTGGGGAAAAACCTGATTCTGCGGGAATCGTATTCCAATTGAATTTTATTTTATAAGAAAACATATCTGATATAATGCGTAGAGCTAAGTATCTTCTTCTTATTGAAAACATCGACTTATCTTTTTTCCACTAAGAAAGTTATTTAAAACAGTAAATTCGAAATCTTAAGCAATTGTAAAAAAAAATGGAAAGGAAATTACAAATTTTTATTCCAACTAAACAATATTTAAGCTCCCAGACGGCCGTACTATAAAATTGGACCGGGAGAGGTTTGAAGCTCCAGAGTGCTTGTTTCAACCTCATCTAGTTGACGTAGAAAGCCCAGGGGTAGCCGAGCTGCTATTCAACACTGTTCAACTTGCGGATATGGATATTCGGGCAGATTTCTACCGACATGTCGTTCTATCTGGAGGCAATACGATGTACAGAGGTTTTCCCTCCAGGTTGGAAAGGGAGATCAAACAACTTTACCTCGAGAGAGTCCTCAAAGGCGATTTGAATAGGCTCGCGGTATAAATAATGATAATTGATGGATTTTTTTTAGTGATTTCGAATTCCTTCATCATGTACATTGAAAATAGTCTTTGAATGGTATAAATACTTCTAAAATATAGTTCATTCAAATTAATAACAAAGAATTACATCCATAATTAAATTAACAGAAATTTCTAATGCAATAACTTATACATTTTTTTTCGCAATAACTTTTCATAATATATTGTAATCGGGAATCGGAACTAAGAGCCAAAGCCGGATTGGAACCGTAACCAGGTAAGAACCGAAATATTAGAAGTAGGACATATGAAAGGGCAGTTCTTGCGCAAATGCTTAGTAATTATGATTATATTTTTCGAATTCGTCTGCATTTAACTTATAAATAATAATTTATTTCATTACTTTTTTTTAATTTAAAAATTATTTATAGTCATATTCATCCATAAACTTCGTTCATATTTTAAATGAGATTATAAACCTTGTGATAATGTAACAAATATTGCCTTTGGCCACCATGGGAAGGGGAAAATTACAAATGTTACTTCTTCTGCTCATAGTCAATAGTTTGTTTATCTTTTTTACGACATTGGTCCGAAGTTACATAGTAAATAAAAATCAATCTAAATATTGGTTTTGTATAAATATAGGAAAATATCGGCTCTGTAAAAAAAAAGTTGTGATCGGTACGAGTCATAGTAAAAAACACTCAAATTTATTTATTTTATCAATTATTTTTAATTATAAAATTAAAAATACTTTTTTTAAAAAAGTTGGTAATTTAACTAAATTATCTGAAGTATATCTATTTTTCGATGCCGATATCTAAAAAACGTATATTAATTTTAAATAAATAAGAATATAAATCTAGAACCTTTTCTGAAAACCGGTTCTGGGACTAGAGCCTAGAATAACAAGTTCTGATGATTGTTAAACTCTATTATTCTGATTATTGTAAGATTTGATTTTCTTTGAAAAAAATGAAAATGAAATAAAATTTAAATATTTTTAAAATTACTTTTCCTTACAGTTTCATTATTTATATAGAAAATATTAGAATTAGAGTGTTACATTTAAAAAGTTAAAACTTACAAGGTAACATTTAAAATACTTGAAGTTTTAAAGTTACACTTTAACTATAAAATAGCTAACGGATAACTACTTACAAGTTATCTGTTAATATTTAAAAAAATAACACTACAGCTGAAATTATAAATCTTTAATTAGTTACATTAACAAATTTACCAACAATTCTCTTTGAGCATATTATTATTCTAATCTTCTATTATTTTAGAAATTCAAGATTAGGATAGAAGATCCTCCTCGTAGAAAACACATGGTATTCATAGGTGGAGCAGTTCTAGCAGATCTCATGAGAGACAACGATAAATGGTGGGTTACCAACCAGGAGTACAAAGAGTTAGGTTTTAAAGCACTCGATAAATTTGGACTTTGAAACTTTCACGGTTCCTTTTTATTATAATAAATGATTATTTACCACAATGTATTTATAATAAAAAAAACACGCCAAATAAAACTTAATATTTTTTTAGCTAAGGACTATCTCATCTCAATATTTTATATTAACCAATAATTTATGTAATTTTTTGTTTTAATTTTCAATATTATAGTAAAATTGACCAATTATGTATGATAATAATATTCCATCTTTGCAAAATGCTATATTTTTTATTTAGTGAGCATGTAAGTATTTTTTAAAAAATTTATATAGTTCTCAACTGAATATTTTATTTATAATTTATATATCTAAAGTCATCTATACTATGACTAAATTATGCAAAAAGAATTAACAACAAAACTATATGTCTATTCCTTACTCTACTTTTCCAATTTTTTTAATGATTATTTACTCATAAATATTATGATGATTTTACTTTTTTTTAAAAAAAAATGGATTTATACATTTCATAATTCTTATAGTATCTTATATTTTGTCCGTAATTTATAAAATGTTTTATAGCGAATTTTATTATAAAAAAACATAATTAAATTTATTCACTATTATTTAATATCCCATTAAGGTGGGTTGCGCATATTTTTCGAAGTTTTAAACATATTTATACATAATTAAGAATATAAAAATAATGAATGTTTTATTTATAATATGAAGTAAAAATAAAGCGTATAACAACTCATATTAGATTCGATTTTGATGCAAAAATTACGTTACTCAATAGGCTATCGCGGAACATAACAGTTCGCCTAATATAATAAGGTTGAAGGAGAACTTCGAATGCAAATCGAGTTTCCAGACATCAAAATATTATTTTAAAAATTAAAAATAGTAGGCTTGTAAAAAAATATACAAATAAATAATTAAATTTCATATAAATAATAAATATTTCGTAAGGTTTAATCAATGATTTGGGAATATATAAAACACATGTTAAATTCAAAAAAACAACCTTGTCATAAACGAAAGGTTGTTAAGATGTTGTAATGATCTGATAAATTTAAAAATAAAGTATACGAATAACTCATTCGAAATTAGCATAACACGGCCTTTAGATTGACAATTTTTCTTCCAGATTTCCTAAAATTTTCTCCATGTAATCATCTGCCAGAGATGAAATCTCGCTTATTTCTACCCGAGTCTGTAAAAATAAATTAAGAAAAAACGAATGTTTAAAAATATATAAGTTAATTAGCTAAGCTTACTTACTCTTTATTATACACGGGGGCAAAATTTTGCTCTGGCAACTATTCTATAGTCCATCTTGAAAAGCAAAATTTGGTTCTAGAATTAGAATGCTGATGGAAAGAAAAACTCAAAATAAAAAGTTTTTAAAGATTATAACCCGATTTTATTTCAATGCGTTTTCTTATTCCTTAAAAATTTATTAAATTGATCTTATTAAATTGATCCATGGAAGAAATCTTTTAATTTATAAAGAAGTTAATATAGCCATTTCATTTTATTAATATCTTATGCTTGAAATGAAAATTAATCGATGATTCCGACAACTTATACAATGACGATCCACACTATATTAATATTAAGCACGGTGAACAGTGTATATGAAGCAGAGACCTGCAAAGGTACCATTCGACCTAGCCCGGATTTTTTTAAAATATATTATATTTATTTTTAATTTTTTATACTTAATAATGGCGATTTAAAACATTTGTGGTTATATTTTTAAAGAAAAAATTTTTGGGCCAGCCCGGTCCTAGTATTTAAAAAAATTTTTTTAGTCAAGGCCTTGGTATATTTAAAAATTAAAATACCGCCATGCCCGTGTACCCGAGTCTGATCTGCAAGTCTCTGATATGAAGTATACCTATCAAATTGCGAATAGAATATTTGCATGTACGAATCGAATAATATTATTCGATGTTGTACAATCGAATCATTTCATACATATTCGTACGAATAAAAAAACATTCCATTTGATTGGTCGAATGTTCGAAAATTTAATTCTTCCAAAATATTTTCAAATATGGATTCCTAATATTTTAAAAAAGTGATTTATAGATATAAGATAAAAGGGATAGAATGATAAGTTTTGCAAAGAACATGTTAATTAATAATAATTTCAAATAGAATAATTTCGAATATTTAGGAATAATTTCTAATATTTATATATTATTAAGAATAAAGTTAAATTATAAGAATAATTCGATCGAATAATGGATAAATAATTATTCGGGAAATAATATATTTTCCTTATTTGTATACTATTCAAATTTTCGAATCGAATTATTTTGTCATTCGTATTCATAAAATAAGAATATTTCGTTTTAGGTATAATATGAAAATGTGGCAAATTTTAAAATGGGCGTGCGCGCATCTTATGTGCCTGAATCTTATAAAATATAACTTGTTCATTCCATTCCTTTTTAATGACAATACAAATAATGCATTTTAAAAAGATTTTTTTTTTAAAAAAAATCCAAACGTGTATCTCAACTTTAAGGATTAGTTCGTTGAGAAGATCATTCATAGACAAAGTTGTATCAATTCTTATTTAGACTTGTGATTATTTAATCGAAATGACAAGTTATGCTCGAGTTACCCTCCCCCTTATCCCATTCTCAATTTTTTTTTAACCCCGGATGGTCAGGATGGATCGTGCAGAAGTTATTATACACGCAAAGGAATTTATTTTAAAATAAAATTAGTACGTTAATAAATAATTAGCTATAAAAGCCACTCAAAAATTGATGTATAATTCAGATTAGTACTTTATTCGTGAACGTCGCATCTTGACAACTCTTCAAATTGATCAAAACGTTGTACTTACAACCGTAGATGGAAGCGTGTAACAGTCTAACCGAAACCTTAAAACATTTTTTTTAAAATAGATTACCCGAAGATCAGAATTAACAAAAGAAAAAAAACATTTAATATCCTAAATAAAAATAATAGATTATTTTTATTCAAGGTGGTTAACTCAAGCTAAAAATTATTTTTAGAAACGTATTTTTTTTTTTTAAAAAAAATTATTTTTATAAACTTGTAAATCAGAGATGGCTTGAGGGTTCAGAATGGTAGATAGAACAATTAGGCCGTCCCACAGTTTAGAAATTTTTCTGGCTAATTCCAATGGGACTTCCGTGGCATTTTGCAAAGCAGATTCTTTTTCTCTAGATCTAATAACAAACAAAAAAACATTTCTTAGAAAAACTTAGCAGTGTTAGCTTTTTTTATTAGATTAGAAAAATATATTTAAACTGAAATTATATAAAACTCGAGGATTATGTGTTTAAATTTATAACATTTATTGTTTAAAACAAATTAAAATTAAAAAAAAATAGATAGATATTTATATAATACTTCTCAGCGGAATCTTTATATTCCCTTCTATTGACAGCCTAAAAAACATGAATACATTATTTTTAATTTTAAAATTATTGGTCATTTGTTAAATAGATTTATAAATTACCTCTAAGTGGAGTTTATAGTAAAAAAAATATCTTAAATCTGAAATAAGTAAAGATTCCTTTTCATTCCTCTCCTCAAATCAAAAAAAATATTTGTTTTTTCAAAGATATAATAAATCTTACCAAAACATTTTTAAAGGCTTGCGAATCCTTATCTATATAATCAAGAAGTTCAAACTGATTTTCATAAATGGCAGGCAAAATTTTTTTAACTGTTGAATTATTAGCTTCGAGTTTCCTAGTGCCTTGACTGAGTAAACCTACCATACAAGTCAGGGATGTTCCCTTTATTTTTAAAAAAAATAAAGAAAGAAAGGAATTTTCAAATCATTCATTGCTTAGACGTGATTTATGGTGACAGATCATTTTTAACATAGTTAAAAGGGTAAGGTAATGTTTCAAAAAGGAAGTTAAATAGGCTCGAACTCATTGACGGCCCTGGGAGATAAACCTATGTTTTGAGCACGCGTACATTTAAAAAGTTCATGTACAATAGAGATCTGCAAAAGTAGGCCCGGCCCGTACCCTGCCCAGACGGGCGCCGAAGCCTAATATTTTTTAAGAAAATTCGGGCCGGGTCGGGTCGGGCTTTAGGATTTTTTAAAATATATCTAAATTTATCAATTTTATGTTGAATTTTTTATGTAAAATAAAAATATGTGATTTTTTTTATAGAAAGTAGACGCCATATAACATATATCGTTTATTTAGGGTAATTATAAAAATTAATTTATATATTTAAATAAATTCGGGCTGGGCCGTCAAAATTTTTTTAAAAAAATTTCGGGTTCGGGCCGGGCTTGAAAAATTAGGCCAGATGCAGATCACTAGTGTACATATAGTTTTATCGAACACGTCTAAAATGGTAAAATTAGAATAGATAAAAAAAGAGGTTTGGCCAATAGAAAGAGAGGATAAAAATGTTTTAATTCATAGTGGTGACGACGTAAATAAATAAAACCAAAGATGCCACAAGTGCTGAAACGGCTCCACCTCCTGGCACCGGAGATCTGGAACCAACTAATGCTATAAAATCGTTTATCTTCATATCTTTGTAACCTGGCTTGGAGATTTTCTCGCGCAATTTATACCTTATTTTTTAAAAAAAATATATTATTTTACAATCAATGAGGTGTATAATACTACTAGATTGGCAATTCATGCAGTTAAAAGGGTACATGATAAGAGTCAGCTCTAGCGTCATTTGCAGATCGATTCAATAACATTAATATAACGATCTTTATGACAATCCAAAGATGGCTCTACATCTGACTCCGCACATATTTGATCAATTAATCCCCAATCTAATTATATATTTACACCATTGTTTACAATCTATTATTTATAAACATAATTTAGAACCTGGACTAAGGAGGGTTCTGGTTTCCGATTCTAAATATTTTGTAAAAAAAAATGGTTTCCATTCTGATTACTAATATTTAAAACAATGGGGGTAGTTTCTGGTTCTTAAATTTGTCCTAGTTCCGGTTACAAACTCTGTTGATAAGTAACAGCGATAAATTTAATTCTTCTTTCATTTATTTTTATAAAAATTATTAAAATGAAATCAATTTATTTTGTAAAAAAATTGTTTTTTCTTGGGGAGACAAAAAATATATAATATCGATATTTTTTAAACTCGAGGATTTGGTTTTTGCGGTCGAAAGGTTTGACAGTGTTCAGTCCTAATCGATCTATGGCCTAATGTTTAATTTTTTTTTAATCATTTGTAAAAATTAAAACAAAATAAAATAAATAAGATATTATAATATAATTCAAAAGTCATCAATCAGTAATCGTTTAGTATATTCTGAATACAATAGTAATCCATATTTTTTAAAAAATATTATAAATATTAAATAGAATATGTCGTGAATCTTATTTTTATTTGGTCTAAATGTCATCTTATCACGTTGTTTCCTATGTTTATTTGATATAATAAATCGTTTTCTTTTTTTCTGGCACATCCCACACGTTTTCTTTAAATGTATACCATATATTATTTCCTCCTTAATCTTTCTACTTGATGATATTTTGTTTGTTAATTTATTATCTTTGTTCTCCAATGGTATAATTCCCATTTTGATCTAATTGTTTTTGAGAACAACAATTTACTAGGTACGATAGTTGAAATTTTCAAAGGCAATATCGGAATCTATATTATAGTTTCTATATTTCTTTTCATCTTCATTTTAAACGTTCTCACCATTCTCTCTGCTTGCCTATTAGGCTGTTGATGATATGCTGAAGTAAGGAGATGTTTTATATTGTGATCTTTGCAAAATTTTTCAAATAAATGGTTTGAGAAATTTTTACCATTATCAGTTACTACTTCTGGTATGCCAAATAAACTAGTTTTCATTAACTTAAATGTTATCTCTGCAGTTATTGTTTTAATATGTTTAATGACAGGAAATTTTCTATAAGAATCTACTTTCCTCAACCATTTGTAAATATTGTGCATAATCAATTTGAATTCTCTTAAAGGACTTTGCCACAGTTTTCCTAGTAAGCACAATAAAGAAATTGATACAATATTTACAGGGAATGATGGAAGAACAATAAATGCTATAAGTTAACGTCAATTACGAAGGTAAAACTCAATTATTTGAAGCGTTTATAGTCAATAGCAATAAAATTCCATATTGGGAAGAACATGGTTAAAACTTTTGGGAATATCTTAAAAAAATTTAGGAAGGTATAATAAATCTGGATCATAAAAGAATAATCAATGATAGTCCTAGGTCTTAAAAAAATAATATAATATAAATATATATATATAAATTTAGTATACTGGATCCCTCAACAAGGAAATCATATAAATAAATTATAAATATCACAATATAAAACTCTTTTTTATATAGATCAGCTAATGTTGTTTAGTAAACGTGATGAGCTAAACTACCTGGATCATTTAGAAGATCTAATCTTAAAAATCTATTTGATTAGAATCGAATAATGAATTTATTATTCGAATTTCATTACGAGTTTTGAGCCATTTTACCCCATTCGGTTAAATTAACATGATTATGACCAGCCATTGAATTGATAAACTATTTATTTACAATTAGTTGAGGTATTTCCTTTACCCTCAATTATTTTCTAGGTGTATATTTTAAATTAATTACATCTTGATAAAAAAAATAAGATATTTGTATAGTGTCAAAACTCCGTAGGAATCAATATTTACCATTTTTTAAACTTTATTAGTCTTTTAAATTTTGACCGTCCATTTATTAAAAAATTGGGCATTAAGTAGGCTGGACTAGATTACGAATTTGGTTTACTTTTTGGTAATTATATATATAATTGGTGTGATTGTCCTGAACTAAAGTACCGCGCTACTTCTTTTTCAGTAGCGGCAACTAATATGCTATAGTTTAATAAAAATAGAGATTTTTACCTATCGTATGTTTTAAAACCTGATATTTTAAATCGCCATTGGGCAGGGCTTAAAACTTTTTTTCAAAAGAAATCCGGTCCGGGCAGTGCAAATGATACCTCTGCAGGTCTCTATATAGTTTATAGTGTATAGCAGTAATAATAATAAAAAAAACAGTTTAATTTAAGATACTTCTAATACAAATGATATATATAAAGAACTACTACGTCGTCTTCAGGAGGAAATAAAGGGGGGAGATCGATAAATGAACAAATATAATTAACCTTAAGAATGGCTACATTTATAATTTAATAATTAATTTTAATTGTTATAAGCTTTAATTTTAATTTTGAAATTTATATTTCCAAATCCGCTTTATAAATCTAATTTATCAAATAATTTAATTAAAATATAAAATGCCGCAAAAGGCGATAGATATGGAAGAGAATTTTAAGAAAGATGATAAACCTTGTAATTTCATTAGAAAATGATATTCTGGAATTAACCTTCACAAATTTGCAAAAATATTTTGCTTATTAATAAAAAAAATTAACATAGGATTTATGTAAAATAGCGAAGGACAATATGGTTCAAAAAAAGCAGCTTTTAACCCCAAAAACATTTTCAGATATTATTCATAAATTTTAATAAAATGATTTATCTACTATTTTAAATTAAGAATGTTTACACCTAAAATTTCAGAGAGATTAGAAAATTTCAAAATAATTTTGGTGTATTAGAAAAAGGCTACATCCAAAAATTTAATTCAAACTAAATTGACTGTTCCTATTATATCAGAACCAGGTATTTTTCAAATATAAGAGGATAAAGTCAATCAGGGATGTGGACCCTTTGTTAGGGTTTGGAGAACATAAATATATATTGACTTAAAATAGTATAATTTTTTTTTTCATTTATTTATTTTTTATACTCCATGTAACATGCATAATTTACAAGTAAAAATTGTAAAAAATTAATTTATAATTAATATTTTTAATGTTTTATTTAAGCATAGCTTTAATATCCCTTATAATAAAATAATTTTACTTACACTATAAAACATAGGTATTTTGTCAAGAGTGGGGGGGGGGGGCGACTATTAGGTGGGTTTGGAGATCTTTCCACTTATTGTAGGCAATTGGCTATATTAGATTTTAATATATTTTTTTAAAAAATATGTCTTTTTCTAAAAATTTTGAATTATAGTGGTTATTTTAAAAATTTATCAACTTTTATTAATTTTTCTTTCAAATTCTTCCTTAGGATATATTGTTTAAATCTTTTGATAGTAGTGGTGTGTATAGGGGGGGAATTTTTAAAATGATATTCACGAGAAGGTAAATTTGGGATGGGCACTACCGCTGGAAAATTCCCAATATTTCACTTTCTAAGATTGTTATAAATTGTTTTTTTTATAAGAGCTCATACATTAGTACCCAAAGAACAGTATTTTTTAAAACAAAATATTCAAAAAATTTTATATTTAAAAAAAAAAATTGATATAAATTAAAAAAAAGAAGAAGATATTAAAAGTATAAAAATCAGAAAATTTTGAAAAATGGATAGAGGAAAAAATGGTTCCACGAACAAAAATTTTAAATGTATTTTTCATGAATTTAAAGAAAATATTTTTTTCGACATCTAGAACCCTCCACTATAAACTAGGGGCCGGGATGGGGTTTAGGGTCAGCCCAAATATTAGGGTTCAGGGTTCGAGTTCACATCCCTGGTTATGATCAATATTATAATTGTTAGAGTTGATCCAATTTCCTTTGTCGATAACCCTTATATACCAATCTAATTACACATATCCTTCTAGCAAATGGCAAGAATTTTGAATAATTTTCAAGAAATGATAGTCTTTAATATGAGATCTATCAGATGTCCCTTACATCTGCACAACAGCAGATTTTTGGGACTCATAAGGGTAAAATAAAGTGCATACATTCTGACCTCATATTAATTTAATTGGATCCAAAAAGGAGAAGCAAAATAGGCTATAGGCAACCTAAAATTGAATATTCAACATGTATTCGCTAATAAATTCTTTTGATGCATTCTTAAATCTAAAAGAACATTTTTGATAATTTTTTCCTAAAAGTAACTTAGTAAGGTAAAACTTATACTGTTGTAGCTGTTGAAAAAAAGAAGAAATAAATTTAATATAATACATCAAATGTCAGTTATTTTCTGACATGGAGATTAGTGTTTTCCTGGTGGATGGGAATGAAACGAGATGATCACATGGGTTGTTTTGAAACCGATTTTTTTCTCAGGTTACCGACAAACCTATTACCCAGAAAATAATTTATGAGTGGAACTAAACCCTCTACCAATAAAGTAGCAAATTTAAAATTAGCAGGAAGTAGAAATAAAAATAAGTTATAATGAAGTAGAATAAAAATAGAAAGTCATTTTAAAAAAAAGAAATCTTTCATATACAATGGTCTAAAATATTAATTTAAGTTAAATATTTCAATAAGGGACATTAAAGGGGCCATTATCGATTTACTAAATAACCAAATGCAACTCCATATCTTTAAGAATTAACTTATATCCTGTATAATATAGTTTAATTTAATCACCAATAATTAAAAAACAATTTAATCACTTTAAAATAGAGGTTTGAACTCTAAGTTATTAGTTCCAATAATGATATAAATTTCTTTGGGAAACTCCTTAGCAAGAAATATAAGTCCTCAGCATGTATTCGTCATATGTTCATATATAAGTCTCAAAATATGGTTGCTTTCCTGTCAATTGAAGCTCTCTTTAAGAAATCCCAAGATAAATATAATTTAGTCAAGGACCTTAAAATTCTCCCAAACCAACTGCCTTTATGGAATAAAAAAGGTTTAAAAGCAATGTCTTCTGGGGATTGATCTATAAGTGCCTGATGTTAAATTGTTCGAGGGGTGTCTTAAAATATGGCCCACCAACTCAATTTTCCTATATTCTATTGTTTTATGAATAGGAAGGATATCGCAACTCGCCCATAACTTATAATTAGTAGTGTTTCGCGGATAAAAGGTCCTAGTTAAATATCTTAAACCTTTGTTTATAAAAACTTGCATCTTGTTATTACCAGATATATTATCGTTCCACATTTCCATACCATAGTATAAGGAAGCTAATATTAAGACTTTAAAGAGTCTTATCTTTAAAGGAATAGATATTTGCCTAGATGACCTAATCTTAATCAAGGACCTGTACTTTACCCTAGTTTTATTCAATTTAAAGTGTTGATCTTTCTTTGTACCACCTTTCTTATCCAATAAGACCCCTAAATATTTTAGAATATCTACTTCTGTAATCGTAT